GGGCCGGTTATACCAGGGGCTCCTCGGGCAACTAAGGGCCTTCATGTGACTGCAGGAGGTACTCCCCGGGTAAACATGGCCCCTCAGGTGACCAGGGCTTCTTCAGATGACTGGCCAGGGGCCATCCAGGGGTCAGGGGCCCATGAGTAACTAGGGGCCCCTCAGATAACCAGGGGCCCCTCAGGTAACCAGAGGCCCCTCAGGTAACCAGGGGCTCTCGTAACCAGGGGTCCCTTACCAGGAGTCCTTCAGATAACCAGGGGCTCCTCAGGTAACCAGGGGCCTCTCAGGTAAACAGGGGTCCCGTGACCACGGGCCCTCAGGTAACCAGGGCCCCTAAGATAAACAGGGGCCCCTTAGGTGACCAGGGGCCCCTCGGATAGCCAGGGGTCCCTTAGACAACAGGAACCTCAGACAACCAGGGGCCCCTCAGATAACCAGGGGCCCCTCAGTAGGAGCTCGTCAAATAACTAGGGGCTCCTCAGGTGACCAAGGGGACCCTCAGGTCACCAGGGGCCCCTCAGATAGCCAGGGGCTCTCAGGTAGTTAGGGGCCCTCTGTGTTCGTCACTGTGATAAATATCGCTCTTTGATATTAGTTTTTCTTCCGAGTAAAAGACGTTCTGTCTGGTACTGGAATTAAGACAGGGAGACCCAAAACGCCTTCGTCACGCAGGTCCCCCTGAGTTATCCTTGGACCTCAGGGGCCCCCGAGGCCTCCTTGGGTACGTCACTGCACTCAAGTGACCCAAAGGGCCCACTTGCATGTCTGATCCCAAAGGGGGAGGCCATGGCCTCTTGGCCTCCCCCCTGGATACGCCACTGGCGTCCATCCGACCGTGTGTGGACCCGGGAGGCCAAGTCGAGCTGGGTGCTCGGTGGTGTGGTTCTAATAGATAATCCGGGGCTTATATCCCGCAATGTTCAAATCGATAGCAAAATTTCTATAGTCTCGCATAAAAAACATTTTCAAGAGAAAAAACTTAAGTGCACAAAGACGTGACTGAAGGTTAGGTCAGCTCAGGGTGCTCACCATAGTACACAGCCAGATAGGAAAGAGGCATAGGGAGCGGATGCTCATAGGATACTGCCTCTTCTCAATGTCATATGACGGTCATATCTGTTTTTGAATATGTTGAATGTTTGAAAGGGTGACTGTTGCTAGTTTTGTTCTCCGATTCCCACACAGTCACACTCACACTGGCGGATCCAGGGTCGCTTGAGGCAATTCCCCTCCCCGATTCCCGAAGTCGACGAAAATTTACGGTTATTCGAGAAAAAACAAAAGAAAACGATTTTTATTAGGAAGAACTTGTTTTAAACTGCACAGCAGTCAGCAGTGCATAAGGAATCGAAATCCGAGGAGTTTGAAAATTGGAAAACTATATTAGGGGGCATGCCCCCTACCCCCGCAGCGTCCAAGACCGCCTTTCTGGATCCGCCAGTGGAATCCCAGTAAGATTGCCCGTTCTCGTTCCGTATGGCCGGCCGTGCCTGCTTTCGTTCAGCAGGCTGCGCCGGAGTACGCCAGTGTGTTGCGGCACAGCCTACCTACTCCCGTAGGCGACAAGCCCGACGGCCGGATCTTGGACCGTGGGCAGCTCTAAAATTGATAGAGCTCGGTACTCAAACAGGGGCTCCGCCACGGTTTTGGGATTGGGGGGGTCCGACCCAAAACACAAAACCTCGCTGGCGAATCCAGGGTGGGTAGGTATTTTGGGCGAATTCACCCTCCCCTCCCCCCTGCAGCTCCCGAAGATGATGAAAAATCGCCGCTTTTTCTAGAGCTCCAAGAAAGCTTAATAATTTCATCGGGAGAATTCTGCTTTAAACCGAAAAACCAAGGTTCAATTTGCACAAGGAATCGAAAACCGAGAAGCGGAGCCCATTGACACCGACATTGCGGCCTCTCAAATCAACGTTCTTGAGGAGTGAAGGCCGCTGTTGCGCGCTCCAAGGGCGGTGTTAGCCATCAGACAGTGCATTAGGCTCTCAGTGACTGGCATGGGCTTGGGAATTCAGGGACCTTCATAGGCGCTCAGATATCTATCTATGTAGGCTTTTAGGCCAGTGCCGGGTCCTCCAAGGCCGTAGTTAAAGGAAAGCGCAGGGCTTTAGGAGTCGTTGAAGGGATTTGAAAGCCCTGCCCTCATACATATAGCAGTATGGACTCCTTAGATACTGACATTCAGTCTCTGTGATCAGAGAGTGACCTATCTTGACTTGAAAATGGATATCAAAATGCTGCAATTGAATCAAAGGTCAGGTTATGCAGGGGATTCTGTAAGAGTTGTGACTTGTAGACGTACCTATCCCTACCGACATGCATTCAGAGTCCTGTGCAGATTATTGCAGATTACCTCAGAACGGTGTGAGGCTGCTTAGACTAGTACGGTGCTCGAAAGACCGGCTTAATCCCCTTCCCCCAACACTATCGGTTGACCTCACATGGAAAAAGGATTCTCAGGTCGATTCGAAGCTCATTTAGGGCGGGTATTGTGTCTAAGAGGTGTCCTGCAAGCTGGACCTCTCTCACGAAATTATAGCCGAATCCTGGCATGCTTAGCTAATCCTATAGCAATCTTAACCCTAGAACGCCTAGGGGGGGGGGGGTTGTATCAACCCCCCCCCCCCTGAGGTTTTTTCGAAGTGCACGCTAAACGGCTTGTCGTAGCGGGCTGAAATTTTCAATACCCTCTGGGGCAACCTTTGCGCATCTTTTGCCGAAAAAAATTGATCGGGTCATGTCAGGTCACGGAGTTATGACGTCATAAGAGGTACAGCCTCCGGCCGACAGTTACCAAACGTGTGCGCCGAATCCCTAGGTTTTCTGCCGGTGATACCCACATTGTTTGATGGATCATGATGAAACTTCCCATGCATGTTGGGGCAAGCATTGGCTATCGTGTGGTGCAAGAAAATTGACCGGGTCAGGTCAGGTCACGGAGCTATGACGTCACAAGAGGAACAGCGTCCGGTACTATTTTTGAAAAGCGCCCGAACCACTATTTTGCTAATTCTTGTCACCTCAATGGGAATATGCAGCAATATTAGCTTCTATAGGGAGCAAATGGACCTCCCAAATCCAAAAATACAATCAGATTTCAAAAATTTAAATTTTGATTTTTCGAATTTCTGCCGCCGACTGTGACCTTGCCGACTTCCGGCGCTCCCAACGCGCCATTTTTAGAGCTAGGGAAACGAAATACATACCAAACGATAGAGAATTGACCAAGGAACACGATACTGAAGGTTTCAAGTCGATATCTTCCACCGTTTTGCCGCAATCGCCGCGGAAAGTTGAAAAGTTTTATTTTTTCGGAAAATTTGACCTTTGACCGGTCATAAGTAGGTCAAATGTTGACCTAGGACCAAAAAATATACCACCAATCGCGAGATCTCGTTGAGAGCAATCCGTTGTTTTTTTCCGCTAAGCTCTACGACCTTCCGTTTCGAAACGCCAGGGGGGTCGTAACAACCCCCCCCCCCCTGGTCGTTCGTGTTATGAGAAATGGCCTGGTCGTGCGAGGGTTAAACGCATTCATTTTAATAACAAAATGGTAGAATAATGGCACTCCGGTACATACGAGTATAGGTCGGCGAGAGTTGAGCACTTCGTGTGTCACAACATTTTAAGGGATCCCTACATTTCTAGATCTTAAATTCCTTAGCTTTGCGACTGTCAACGTACCTATTCTAAATTATTCAACACATTCTGTGAATGATTTGGTCATTCTTATGCGAAAACAAGCTTATAGTTATTCGAAATATTGGGGGGTACTGTACCCCCCAGGTAAATTATTGAGGGGGTCCGGACCCCCGCGTACCCCCCTGTGGCGGAGCCCTTGTACTCAAATCAGCTTTACGGAGTAAATTTCAAAGTGTAGTTGCAGTGGTTACGGGAATTTTTGCAAGTTGATAGTCGAAAAAATGGTTCACAGAAAATATTGTGCCCCACGCACAAGCAGTAAAAGGCAAGCATAACATAAACCTCACGACTAAGAACTTGCACAAAAGTTGCACGAAGGTCCTGTCATTGAGGGCACTGTGCATCAAACGCTCAAGCTACCACCAACCATTTGTGTGTGATTATTTCAAATCGATGGGATAAGACATGATATCGATCACTTTTTGACCAAACTACGACTGCACGTACGTCTACGCCTATGTCTACCTATATCGAGAGTCGTTAACGTTTCTAGCTTGGTATAATGCTGGCAATACAAAAACTCCAATATAATATAGGCTGACCATCGAGCCTGCTGGCTGCTGGGGCGTTGCCCCGCGCTGTATCTAATCACGGCCTCATTATGCGGCCGGTCGTCATGTGGCGGCCTTTCTGGCATTGTGCGCCGCCGGGAGCGATTTCCCCGCGGGCCGGCCGCCCGTCCGGCCAGAATTGTGCCGGATACGACCGGCCCAGCCGCGGCCATATACGGATGCGGGCGCTCTGTCGGCGCGCCTGAACCAGTTCCGGTGATATGGGCCGGATACTCTGCGGTGCCGTGCTGGTGGCGAGGGGAAGGCGATAATGGTCTGCTCTGTAGGACGGCCGAGTGAACTTGAGGCGTGAGTCGTTATCGGTCTGGCGTTTATTATTCAGCGGGTTATGACAGTCGTGAAAGATGCCGTGGTAAGCAGAGTCGAAATAGTGGGATGTGTAGGTAAAACAAATTCAAGCTCATTGCGTCGAAGTTTTGATAGCTATTTTGAAGAAGTGTCTTCTGGCTTTTCGGTCACGGCAAGTCAGAATTGCTAAAATTATGTTTAGCCTTCTGGATCTGAAATTTTCACTATGCAGAAAGAGCGTACATACCAACAACTTCGACGCCATGAGATTCGCAAAAAATTCGCGGTGTCCCACCCACCCCTCGCCTCGGGGTGCCGCACGGGTTAATAACACCGATCCGTCTAAGCGGGCATTTCATTAGCATCGGGATATAAAATCGTCGCGGTTGCACCCACACGAATCACCATCACCAAGCCCTAGAAAAGCCTGTATGAAGGACGGGAGGACCTGTATTGAGCACTGGAGGGTTCCACCGGCCACCGGGCTGGCCCGGTCCGGGGAGAGCGGAGATCGAGACAGAGCACGGAGGGCGCCGTCACAGTCGCACACACAGCACACCAAGGCACCTGAGCTGCCGGCCGGCGCTGAGCGGGCGGTCCGCCGGACACAGACGCGCCGCGCACAGCGAGACAGCGGCGGAGGTCCACCCTCGGCACCGCCGGCCATACAGGACACGGCTCAGTCCTGTCACGTCAGTAACGCCACAATCACATCACGGCAGCGATGTCATAATCAGGTCAGAATCATCGATACATGATGTCACAATCATGCCACGTCAATATTTCGACTATCATGCCAGGAACATCACATCTCTGATGTTGAAATCATATTACGACAGGAATGTAATAATCCTGTTCCTCCCATTTTCGCTGACACCGAACAGCAGTTTTTACCTCAATGGCAATACACTCGAGTCACACCAGATGACGTCACAGGTCATGTCACGTGATCACATCAAATCACACATGGATCGAGGAGGCACACACATCAAATGGCTCGGCGCATGATATTCGGCTCACGTTTACCATCTTGGACAGAGAACACCAGCTGCCCCCTTCAAATACTCATGGAGATCGGAGGATCTCGGCCTTCAACTGAGTCCAATGACCCTTGAAAAGCGAACAGCGATCCATGGACTGCGACCAGCGGCACCTGGACTGTAAGCAGCGGCACCCTGACTGAGACCAGCAACTGGACTGAGATCATTAACCCCAGAACTTTGATCATCAGTCCCTAATCTGAGATAATCGATCCTCGGACACCACTCGCACTTTGACAGAGACCAGCGACAGAGATCCGTCGCGGTTCAATGCGACATAACGGCGTTCATGACACTCGACAAACGGCGACATCAAGCCACGCTCCATCAATAAATAGTTTCGCCTGGACAGATCAGCATATCCACATCACATTGACACACCCAATATGCCGGAGCGTTCAAATTACACCGTGTGCGGCTAGTCAACGTGAGAATAGGGCAGCTCTCGGGTCCGCACACACTATCCGACCTGCGCACAAGTACGCCGAAAACATGCTTTCTTGTGATCTAAACCACATCGTGGGTCAATAAGGTGTGAGCGATTTGTATAGTTCGAATGAGCAGAGAAAGCTCGAGAAATGTAGGAGATATGACAGACGCAATGCTGGCGAAGAATGGCATGAAACTAAGCCGCGATGCGGTTCAGTTTCTTAAATCTGAGCAGCGACACGCGCGCGTCGTCTGTATTTACAGCCCATGATTCCGCAAGGCAAGCCAATATCTATCACCCACTGTGTTCTAAATGAACCTGTCAATTGATCCAATACGACTAGAATAGTTTCAACAGGTGGAGTCCTATTTCATGACTAGATTAGTTCCTAAAATAGATATACCACTATTTCACTAAGGCTTATCTTTTCTGAGACCGGTAAACGATCAGCGATGACTAGAATCGTTGATTACGCAGTGCCTACCTACCTACCAGGCTCACACACAGCGAACTAACTAGGCTACCAGACCCGCAAACACGACAAAGTGCACATGTGCCCACTGCCGTGAACGATATGTTGATGGAATGCTATGGTGAAAGCCTGAAAGCATGCGAGTCTCATTCAATAAGCATGCGAGTTCCCATTTCTGGGAGAATACCCTCGAGCGCTACGCAGAGCTACGTACTGATTTGGAGAGCCCACCAAAGGCCGACAGAACAGGCCTCGGTTTCAAACAGCAAGTTACACCGCCGAGCGAACGTCAGAGCTACAAGCCGCGACACACGAGCCGCTCGTACCACTGATGCCTCGGATACCACAGCTTGCAGGCGGCGGCAAGGCTAGACCAACATTTGCCGAGCACTGCGGCTCCCAGTCCTACCTTACACGTCCAGTGAGCCCAGCTTCCACGCAACTGTAGCCTTACGCAGCCAGGCCTTGAGCTCCTGCGTTCGCTCCAGAACGCTGCGCTCCGGGCGCGGTTTGGGACGCGGCGGCGGGGCCGGCGGTGACCGCTGCCGCGGCGGAGGGGCGGGGGGAGACTGGGGCGGCGGCCGGCGACGAACCGGCGGCGGGGGACGGTACGTGTGGATGGCGGCCAGAGAGGAGTGCAGCTGCTCACCCCGGCTCGGCTGGTACGCCGACGAGGGGCGCACGTTCAGCTGGGAGTCGGACGCGTGACTTCGCTCTGGAGACAGATCAACACCCGGACGGGCGGTCAGTCGGCGTACAAATAGCATTATGGAAACTGCATCTGCGACGAATGATGATGACTATAAGCAAATTCGTCAAGTCAAATCAAGTTATGCAACCAAAGTCGAGGTGCGTTGCCCCAAAATCACAGCACTCCTAATCACACCCCCTGAGCCTCAAGATCACAGTCGTGCCTTCATCAATGATCGGCACATTGCATGCTAATTGGTCACCACCAGAGATTGATTATCTATGACAGCGACCCCAGTCGACATCCTCACCCTGTTTGAGCCTGCCATAGTGCCGCGTAACGGCCCGTAGCTGCACGTCTCTTTCCGTGGCCGATCGCTCCTCGTCGTCCGTGGAGACGTCTTCAGAGTCAGACTGCAGCTCCTGTGGACAGGCAGGAGGGACAGTTAGCGACACAAATCTACACACATCGCTAAGGACACACTTTGTTCTGACCAGACTTGTGACAGCTCAAGAAAAAAGTGAGCTCGCTCAGCTCAACTCCGTTTTATCCGCTCCCGCTCAGCTCCCGCTCAGTTTAACACGGCTCAGCTCAGCTCACGCTCCGCTCAAACCGGCTGTGCTCCGCTCACGCTCAGCTCAGCTCAGCTCAGCTCAGTTTCCGCTCAGCTCAGCTCAGCTCAGTTTCCGCTCAGCTCAGCTCAGCTCAGCTCAGTTTCCGCTCAGCTCAGCTCAGCTCAGCTTCCGCTCAGCTCAGCTCAGCTCAGTTTCCGCTCAGCTCAGCTCAGCTCAGTTTCCGCTCAGCTCAGTTTCCGCTCAGCTCAGCTCAGTTTCCGCTCAGCTCAGCTCAGTTTCCGCTCAGCTCAGCTCAGCTCAGTTCCCGTTCAGCTCAGCTCAGTTTCCGCTCAATTCAGCTTAGCTCAGTTTCCGCTCAGTTAAATTCACGCTTAGATCGCTCAGTCGTTCTTTTTAAATCGGACATGCTTAACCCTCGCCCGTATAGGGGGGGGGGTCGAACGGACCCCCCTGTTTTTCGCGAATAACTCGCGTAAAAAGCGGCCGATCGCGACGAAACTTTCAGTACCCTCGCGATAATCAATTTTACACCTATCCTGAAAATTTCATGACCCTGACCCTAATGACCTTTGACCTGTGACCTACTTTTCGAGACCATGTTTGGCCGGAATCGCGATTCGGCGTATGTCGGCTCGCATTAGCCGCGCGTTAGCAGTCTTTTTGTGGTTTCAAGTGTTCAAACATGGCATATGATGTTGCTCCCATGCATTAGGGTGGGTGTCAAGGTCACCGGAAGGTCAGGTCAGGTCATTGACCTTTGATGACCTCGGTTCACTTTTTCGAGTTTTACATGTTTCTAGGCTAGTTTTTGGAGCTGAATTCGAATTTAGCAACCATTTGAACATTTACGAAGCAGTTTTGGTGCCTTCGTAACATGTTACGAAGCTGTCAGAGGCTACTACGAATACCCGGCAAAATCCTTACTGGTTGACCTGACCTGACCCGACCTGGCCTCAATGCATAAAGACATCATCAGTGATCATAACTAACATGATATTCGTGATCAGCACCCCGAAAAACCCCATAGCAGCCACGTTTTACGACGTTCTAACAGGTCCCGATTTTCCCGACTTTTGGGTCATTGACCTGACCTGGAAGGTCAACCGATAACCTAGGACCTTAAAATTGGGTATCATCGGCTTCCTCTCGTCGCGGGCAGCACGCTCGTTTTTTCCGCGAAGCTCTAGCTCGATCAGGGACGAAACGGCAAGGGGGGGTCCAACGGACCCCCGCCCCCTTATACGTTCGCGGCTGGAAAAACACCAATACGGGCGAGGGTTAAAAAACAGACCAACTCTTGGCGCATAAGTAAGTCTCCTCTAACAAGGAGCGAGGCAACTTACACAATGGGCAAAAGAGATAAGCTCATTAAGACCTTGAGACTTTGCGAGTCGTGCGTCTACTTGGACTCAGACTATAGTTACATGAAATGGACTGTTCTTGGCAGTGTTATCACATGTTATCAGAGTGTGCACCCGCGATGTTAACATAACATATAAGTTCAAAATATACGAACGAAAAAAGTCTGGACGAAAAAGTTTACAGACGAAAAAAATGTACAGACGAAAAAATGCCAGACGAAGAAAAGTCGGACGAAAATCTGCTAGACGAAAAAAACGCCATGGAATCATCTCAACTAGGCAGTGTTTCACGGCCGAGAGCAGCACGCCCACGCCGCCATCCGCTCTTGGCACCCTGCCAGGAGCTGACGTTACATTTTGGGGTAGTGTTGGAACTTGGAGATAAGAGTTTGTTTATATCTCCATGGAAACCCCATTTGACACGTGTGATAGCAGCGTGCTGTTATCAGTGAAACCTTGAGTGAAACCAAACACCACCCTGATCTCAACCAAGGCAATGTCAACACAATTAGAATTCATAGTCGGCGTGTGAATAAGGGAGCTTTTCCCATATTATGGACATCAGAAGGTGAGAGTTCCAGTTAGCGCCTCTGCCCCACCCCACTTTCAATAGGATATGGTTGCTTAGCCCACATTCAACCAACGAAGAGGAACATTTGCTAATTCCTAATTGTAAATATTTTATGCAGAGGTAAGAACCCTTATCGATAAAATTAATTTAAATAACTGCTTAAATAACAAAGTGAAGAATGCTGAATTGTACATTGCGGAGCAGAGTGTCAAGGCGAAGCATCAAAGCCTGACAGTAGGTATTCATCTTGCAGTCAGACTTGAAACTTGAGACTGGCTGTATTAGCCTGTAAATTGGCCAAGACCCTGGTCTTCCAATTTCCATGCAACATGGATGAAATAAATTAAGCTTGATTAGTGATTAATATTGATTTCTTTAGAGTTTTGATATTTTTAAGTGCGATCACGAAGGCAGTGTAATTGCTCACTCCATAGCTAGCTCATAGCTGAAGCATCAGATCCTGAGTTAATTTCCAAGCATGAACTGAAAAGAATTAGAACTGGATCAGCTCAGCTCAGCTAAATCAGCTCAGCTCAATCAGCTCAGCTCAGCTCAGCTCAATCAGCTCAGCTCAGCTCAGCTCAATCAGCTCAGCTCAGCTCAATCAGCTCAGCTCAGCTCAATCAGCTCAGCTCAGCTCAGCTCAGCTCAGCTCAGCTCGCTCAGCTCAATCAGCTCAGCTCAGCTCGCTCAGCTCAGCTCAGCTCAGCTCAGCTCAAGCTCATTCAGCTCAGCTCAGCTCAAGCTCATTCAGCTCAGCTCAGACAGCAGCTCAGCTCAATGCATTACTGAGCCGGCTCAGCTCACAGCTCAACAATTTGGCAAAATGTTGAGCCGGCTCATGAGCTGAGCTGATTTTTGAGCCGGCTCAACTGAGCTGATCACAAGTCTGGTTCTGACAGCAGCCCACTTAACGACACACATCTACACACGCATCACTAGCGATATCTTTGGCGACACACGCAGATAAAATCATACTTGGCGACACATATCTACCCACATCCCCCATCAGCTTCTTGGTGACACACCTACTCACATCCACTATATCAGCTGACCGGTAAAACAAACATAACCTAGATGCCACCATATAAAAGTATTCGCATTGCTGGACGCGCATTACACTACACACATGGCCTCGATTGATTGGTGATGCAATTGGAAGACAATACAGACACGCGGCGACTGCGGGAAACAGTCGACCACTGCCCCGCATCTGCTATTCAAGGCATGTTCGGGGAGCGGATATTGCCAGTGGCCGGGAACAAATATCCGCCGGTAGCCCTGATCAAGAGTAGTCGGTGGGGGTCGACAGCGAGCCTATATCCTGTGACGTGTATCATTTCCTCACGCGGTCACACTGCGGATAGCCACTGTAATAGCCGCTTTAATGTCAACCGTTGGGCGCGTCCTATTCACAGCCCACCCACATCACGCTCTATGTGTTTGACATGGCGCCCAGCCAGCCGTCAGAGACGTGCGCTCACCGAGGCTCGCCGGTAGCGTGAGGCGGCCGCCGTCTGGCCGTGAAGGAAGTGTTTGGCACGGTCCAGTATCCGGCGCACGTCGGCCGGTCCTCCCGACTCCGGCGGCGCCCGGTCCCCGTCTGAGGAGGCTGTCGAGAGCGATGCAAGGGGTGGAAAACGTCACCGGGAGAGCAGGAGTTTCGGTAAACCGGACATTGTGATGTGGAATAATAAAGGCTGTCCGACAGATGAGGGATGGAAACATATCCAGCGTTTGGGGGCTCACTTGACAGACAAAGACGACGTATCTGACAAACAACGACGCATTTGATGCTCAGTGAAGACCATTATTGGAATAACGATGGAGACACACTATAAATTATCGCAATCAAAGCAACAATTTATAGAACGATGAAAGTAAGGAACAGCGTATCTAAACTTAGCCTTGTATGTCGGACTAAAAGCCATCCCCATAGAAAAGAAGTCATTTTACTCGACCAATTTAAATGTTACGAATTACATTATGCTGTCCGCCAAAATACTTTCGCCATCTCCCCCACACAACTCAGCGGCGCTCGCGCGGCTCTCACCTCCGTCTCCATCGCTCCACATGCCCAGCGCCCTGATACGATGTCGCATCTGTCGCACAGCCAGCCGCGCCGGGCTGGTAGGCTGCTGACCGTCTCCACCCAGGACCGGGGCAGACACGGTGACCGTCGGCCGGACGCCCGAACCCCCACCGCCCAGACCACACTGAGGACAGGAGCGAGTGGCTGCCACAGGTGGACGAGGTCTGGCGGTGGATTGTGCTGCTCGGGGACGTCTGAGACCCTCAGCGGTCGATGGTCGGGGCCGGTGAGGCAGCGGCGGAGACCATTGGTGGCTCGTATCGGAACTCTCCGCGTCAGAGGTGTTGCACAGCGCAGAGTGACGCCGCCGGCCGTGAGTATCGCGGTGGCAGGAGTGGCGACCAGTGCGACTGGGCGGGTCACGCCGGGCGGATAAAGGAGTCTGCACAGCCGCGTCCTCTGTGGTCGGTTCTAGTCCCGCTGACTCGGACAAACGCCGGCAGAGTCCCTCACAGGGCCCGACTGAGCGATCAATTCTACCCGCCGCCGGTCGCTCGGCGCCGCTCCTCTGATAGCGCCCGGCGAATCCGGAACTCTCCCTGTCGGGTTCATCGCACTGCGAGCACGCGTCCGCCCGAGGCTCACACACCTCCGGTGGGAATCGCGTTCTGCTGTGAACCGGCGGTCGGGCGCTATCCCGATCGGCAGCAACCGTCTCAGTCAGCCCGCGGTGCTGGCTTCTTTCAGCACGGTCAGCCACCAGCGAAGAGGCCTCACCAGCGACGGAACCAGCCACAAGCCTTTGTTCGACATGACTGTGTTCAACGGGTGGCGCGTGACCACCGCCTGATATCCAACCGTACTTGACTGGCCGGTCAGCCTCCTCAAGACCTGAGCTCTCGGCTGGGGTTTTAGGACTACTGATGGCAGTTTGGTTCTGCACTGCCCTAGGTCGATCTTCTGACATAGCTGCTCGTCTGACCGGCTGCTGAATATCCTCTCCAGTACGAGAATCCGTGTAATGAGACTGATCACTTTCTGGAGCCGCGAAGGCCAACTGAGAGCGGGAAGCAGCGATCTCCTCTGGCTGAGTATTTTGTGCGAATTCGGGCGTCGCTCTCATCCCGTGGCCAGACCCGAATGGCTCACCCTCGCTTTTCGCCACCTCATATCCAGTTCGCGTCTGTTTTTCCTCTGAGGTGTTTCGCACCCAGGCATTATCTACCGCTCGCGGCACTGGGTCTCTCGTTGGTATCTCAATGGACGCGGCAGATTCTTCGCCCACGGATGGCTGTCGCGAGATTTGACTCCCTCGTACCTTGGTGTCCTCAGACGATAGGATCTGGGGAGTGCATGTAGGACTTTTACGACTATCGGCATCAATCACGGGATCGTGCTCTGCCTTCTTACTCGGCTGTGGCTGTTGGTCACGTGGAGACGACGCTGTTTTCTTGATGTTCCCTCTCTCCCCGGCTCGGTCACCCGCCGGGGTGGACTCCGAGTCAGCAGACTCCGACTCTGACTCAGAACCTGAGTCAGACTCCTCGGGGTACAGAGAGCGAACACGGCCCGGTCGGTCCACCGTTAGGGCTCCACCCTCGGCGACACGCAGCTCGTTCTCATCCTGTTCCGACTCAGAACTAGAGTGACCGGCGGCCAGGCGCAGTCGTCTCTCCCGATCCTTCTCATCAGGGGTGTTCTGTGCGCACAGAGAGAAAGAAAGAACGGAGCCGGAGGGCGCCGGGTGGTCCGGATTGCCGCCGACAGAAGGCTCTGTGGTGGTAGCCTGCTGACGGGACAACCCGCCGCTGTTCAGGAGTGAGACTGGTGAGACGTTTGACTGCTGGGCGTTGACGGTGGTTGGTGTTTGAGGTGGAGTGCCTTTCCCGCCACAGAGGCCATCGCCTTTAGATGGCACCGAAACAGAATAACGGCCATCGTTCGGCTTGTCTGCTGGATGGTGTTCAGCTTCGCTCAATAGCTTCACTGAGGAATCAACGTTCACCACACCCTCATCGACGCTTTCTTTCACTGAGGCACCCTTCCCGCCTGCCTGCACTTCATCCTGCACTTCTCCATCACGAGACCTACTGGATTCCTGACTGGCTTTCATATTCAAACGGCCATGCTTTGCCTCTTCCGGTCTCTCTGTCTCAGTCTCCGCCGGCCTGGGTGACTCCTCACCAGCCGTACTGCCGCCCTCAGTACCACTTCCACTGACCTCCTGTCTTCCAGGAGAGACCCCAGGACGACCGACACCGTCCGACTCCCGAGCAGCCGGACCGGGAGGACCACGGCCCGACGCCGACCGGCCCGACTCCCCGACAGAACCCTCAGATGCCTCGTCGATAAACGGGATCGAGTCGGCCGTCAAAGACACACCCAGGGTAGTGGTAGAAGGCTTGGTGGAAGTGACAGCGGTTGCGGTGACGGAGGCAGGTGGTGTAGTGGTATGGGTTATGGTGGGCACAGTCTGAGCTGAAGAAGCGGTGCTCGCTGTAGCTGTAGCTGTGGCACCAGCGTTTGTCGTTCGCGGAGATTCGTTAGCTCCACTTCTCGTGTTCGCCGCAGGAGAATCACCGGCCTCTGATGGTCGGGCTGCTACCTTCCTGGCCAGCAGTCTCTCCGTAAACGTGGCTGGGCGACCTCGACCTCCCTGATATGTGACTGGACGCGTCCCAGTCTCGCCCGGACCCTGGTCTGGGCTAGCACCACTGACGGAGACAGGGGCGGGACTAGGATTAGCAGCAGAGCCGGAAGTGGGGTCACGGACGGGTTTAGAGTCAGAAGAGCTGGGAATGGGACCTGAGGCAGACTTTTGGTCTGACGGGGCGGGGCTAGAGGCACGGGCCGCCGGCATCGGTCGCTCAGTCTGGTTGGAAGATCGTGTAGCGGAGGCAGTTGCTGGTACAGGTTTTTCTGATCGCGTCGCAGCCACCGGAGTTGGTTTCTCCGCTGCTCTAGTCACTGCTGGAGGTGGTTTCCGTGTTTGCTGTTTGACGGCGGGTGTGGGCTTAGCTGCCCTCTTCGCGGCGGCCGGAGCCGGTTGACTGGCCGCTGGTGTGCCCTGCTTTACCCCCGCAGTGGCGCCTCCTTTGCCGACCGGCCTGAGCGGGGCCAGCGGCGCTAGTCCCCCGGGCGGCGGGCGAGGAGCCCCGATAGAAGGCAGCGGCGCCAGAGGACCGCGGACGGGAGCAGCCACCGGGGCCAGCGGCCGCAGCCGGGCGGGTGTCAGCGGCGCCGGGCCGACCGCCGCCGGCTGCGGGGCCGGGGCCGGAGGCGGGCTCGGCTCGCGCCGGCGCTGCTCCGCCAGACGCCGCTCGCGCAGTGCGGCGCGCACCTCCTCCTCTTTGCGCCGCTCGAGCTGACGGCGCGGCGAGTCGGAGCCCTCGCTGGCGTGCAGGGACAGCTGCCGATGGTGGAGAGCACAGCGTCATAACGATGCCGTGAACAATTACGACAAAACAAAACATATTTCACATTTTTGACAGTTCAGTCACCGAACCGATACGGGCCTGTGAAACAGCACAAATGTAGCACGGCACAACTATTTTCGAGAACAAGCGGAAAAACATCACATTTGAAACAAAACAACACCCGCCGTCCAAGGCCGAGGTTCTTTAGCTTAGCTATCAATCCCTGCTATCGCCCTGACTGACCTGCGAGTCCTCGGTGATATCCTGCGCCATCTCCAGTGAGTCGTCTCGATCCGGCGGGGCCCGCAGAAGGCTCAGACGGTCACCGCCCGGCCGGCCACTGTCCTCCTGAGGGGCACACCAGTGAGGGTCAACAGAGCGGTCCTGTAGCGCTGTATATGAGCCATATCTGGGAGGATTGAGAGCTGACCCAAGAAGCAAGATTGGGTATATGAGACTCGACTTGTTGATCGCAGAGTTCTCTCAGTATGGAGTGAAACAGTACGTGAAACATCTGAAACAGTTCTGTCTGAGTTTCGCACTCACCAACTTTTCCCGAAGCCAGGAGGCGCCGTGCAGTGGCGGCGGCTGCGGAGTCTGCAGCTGTCGAAGGCGATCGTCATGGACATCCTCACAGTCCTCGTCCTCTTCCTCTTCGTCCAGGTCAAACTCGATCTGGTGAACGCTGGGCGCGAACGAGACGTTCTTCTTTTCACGCTCCTCCTCTGCGCAGAGCCGTCGGGAGCGCCCGAACTCTGCGCCGGCTCCGGTAGGGACGCCACCTGTCGGTACACACGGAACTCATTGGCGAGGCTAGATCCGACACACAGACGCTATCGTCAACAACAGCTCTGGAGGACCGACACACAGAAACTTGAGGGCGATCGGCTATCATACAGTGTAATTGGTATCAACGAATGGAACAAGTGAGAAGGCTTGTCCCGTGATCATTCGACATTAAAGCTGCCTGTATTCCATATAAGACTAAGATATAGCAAGCAGGTCGCTAAATTATAGCATATAGTTATGTTGTGAAGATGAGTATATTCTAATTTTCCGCCGTGTAAGCCGTAGCTACCTCATCTTCCCTACACGCTCTTTTAAAGCCGACCTACCTTCAGCCGAGGCCGCCTGTTTCCGCGCCACAATCACTTTCTGGCGGTAGACGGCGTCCAGAGGGTGTTCCCAGCGCGTCTCGCCCGAGCGGAAGTTGAAGTAGTACAGCAGACCCTTCTCCTCCTCGAAACTGTGGCAAAGGGCGGATAGGAAAACAACGCGATATGAATATAGGATAATTTACACGGAACCAGCTAAAGAAAACAAAGCAACGAAATTAAAACATAAATTAGAGCCGTTGATTTTTGTTACCTTCAACATTTAGCATAACCTTTCATATAGCACAAACAGGGATCGTATAGTGGGCCCAATAGGGTGCGTTAGATCGAGCTGTTCCCGCAATGTATCCACACTGAGCTGCAAACCAGCTGCTGCTGCCGGCGCCGGCCGACTAACCATGGTTTCCAGCCGGGAGGCAGGGACTGGTTGACCCCCTCGTCAGCGATATGCAGCAGATGCGGCTCCCGCTCCGGATCGATGCCGATTCGGCGGGCGTACTCCAGCACCTCTGCCGAAGGTACACTTCACAGTAAAGGCCGCTCCAAACTGGAACTCGCATGCGGGTTGCGAGTTTGCGGGTTTTGAGTTTGCGGGCATAATACTTATTCATAGAGTGAGTAGATCGCTCCATTATGGTAACTTCATGAATGCAGTGAAGCCGGTGCACCTTCAGAAACTTACATATAGTCGCAATACCAGCGCAACGAACCGAAATTCGACTCTAACGAAAAACCCGCAAACCTCGCAGCGCAGACCTCGCAGCGAGGAAATTCGTAAGTTCACTCAAAGTTACCTGCAGTCTACCAGTGGTGTAACTGACAGGTGTAACTGAGCATTTCTTTGAGAGATTGGCTCACAGCCCAAACAGATGTAACTCCAGGACACTGCTTATTTGAGTCATCACTTAAAAATATCATACATTTTAGCATGCAAGCATAAGCCAGCATATTTGTTCACTTACCATCGTGGGTGGCAATGGAGTCTTCATCAAAGATCTCCTCACATATTACTTGGGATGATTTTTGTCCAACTGATGCTCTAGAACTCATCCCATGTAAGTGTTTAGTGATTTAAAAATGTCATGTTATACTGTAAATAAGCAGCTATTCAGAGCATTATACAAAACTTGTTAGTGCCATGGAATGGCTGCTGGAGCTTGTAGGTGCCAGCAATGTACCTGAAATGAGAAAGGAATATGGTTTAATAATTGAAAAAAATAAGTAAAAAAGCACTTCACACACCAGTTATCGACAGCCCTAAAAAGCCCTATATCAATGTCCAGTTACATGGTCATCAAATAACAAATATACCTAACAGAACCCTTTGGTTTAAGAATCAGGCTGACAAAAATTGAGAGCTGTTAGTAGATTCTCTTCACTCTTAGACTAGCAGCTTAACCCTAGCCCGTGCTGGTGTTTTGCCAGCCTTGAACATAAAGGGGGGCTTGCCATTTCGCCCCTGATTCAGGGACGCCGGTGAAAACAGGGCGCCAGAGGGCATATAAGTCACGTGACATTTGGAGCTTCTCCCCCTCCATGGGCCTTCTACATGCTAAACGTCACGTGTGAATTTCACGAACCTTGATCAAATCGCCCCAGGCACCCTGTTTTCACCGTCATCCTGATCCAGCTAGAGCTTCGAAAAAACGAGCGTGTTGCCCGTGACGAGAGGAAGCTGGTGATACCCAATTTTAAGGTTCTAGGTCATCGGTTGACCTTCCAGGTCAGGTCACTGACCTAAAAGTCGGGAAAATTGGGACCAGTTAGAACGTCATTAAGTGTGGCTGCTGTAGGGTTGTTCGGGTTGCTGATCACGAATATCATGTTAGTTTTTATCACAGATGATTTCTTCATGCATTTGGGGTTCGAGTTCATACTTGATACTAGTGCAACAACTTTTTTTCAACACATCAAGATTCAAGACGGCATGTCAATGATAAAAATGACTGTTATATAGTTATATACTTAAATATACTTGAATTGACTTGACCTGCTACTGCTTATGAGATCCAAATATCTTCGTCGTTTCTGTACAATGCCCTTATATATTTTCTGTAGCTGTCTGCTGTGGACTATAATTTGTCTCTCGATGTGCCGTGTTTATTTACACTTACACTAAAGAATTTACCCCGCGTTCGATGTCTCCCGGACGGCAAAGATTGCCGTCCGGCCAATAACGTCTAAGGTCAGCGGGGGCTCAGCTGCGGTTATGAAACGTGATTGGCCGGACGGCGTAGAATCTTCGCCGTCCGAGAGACATCGAACGCGCGGTTACAGAAAGAATTTACAGTCAATTACCATGCAAAATGACGTCACAATCCCAAATGATAGACGTGGATAGACGTTTCCGAGTTCCGGCTTCCGACGTTTTCAATTTCCATCCAGTTCCTCATAAATATTGAAGGCTATTACTGCATTCATACTGCAGTGCTATCATTCAAATAATTTAACCAAATGATATTTCTTTAAATGCATATTGGAGAAAATGTCCAAATTGTAATTTTCATGACGTAATGATTATTTACTCATTGGATATTATGCTTACGACAACTTATATACATGGCCTTGATTCAGGGGGCGGCGCAATCACAATGCAAAATGTGTCATAGTGGATGATTAAAAGGCCCAGAAAAACACCAGAAATGAATATTCTGACGAGTTTCAAGCACTGGTAAGCAAGTGTTTATTGTACGTACCATGTTTTGTGTGTCAAATCTATGACTAAAGCACCGGTAGCTCTGTGCCGAATATGTCACGGCTGCGTCATATGCTGTCCTGACAAGGCTAAAAGCGATAAAAGCAAGTCTAGATGGCTAAATATATCAACTTTCATCACTTGGAACCTATTTCATGGTATACTGCTCTAGCGGGCAGTGGCTACTGGTATGGTATATTGCTAGGGTTGTGAACGAGTGTGCAAGGAGAGAGGTGCTGGTGGCCCGAGTTGAGCCTTGAGCTTTTGCACCAATCTCCATTTTATTCTTTTGTTTCAGTACTTTCTGTTCAATAAATATCATCATCAGTGGCTACTAGTGCCATTGGTGCACTTTACCACATTGGTTTCCATGTAGAAATCAACAGACTCGATGATTTTATACAGTATTTGACTATTGAGTGACGATCATTGAACAATAATGATAGCAATGGATAATACAACTTTTAAAGTCAAAGTTCATGCTATTGGAGAGCTAATGAAAAGCAGTGGTTGGGCCCACTGACCAAGTCGTTTGACCACTGCTTATCACTAAGACAGTGAAATGTGTAATCACTAATCAGTGTTGGCAACAATGAACAACTAGCATAAGCAATGATCATGACTGAGCCATAAAACAGGGCCCAGCTAACTTCTTGCTTCATGCTGGTAGACACACTGGCAGATCCAGAAATAAAATGCAGTGGAGACTGTGTGGTGTGGAGATGTAGGTATTCTGAAAGTGCTTGAATTAAAACAAACTTGAAGTTTGAACACCTCATATTTTCAGGCTACTCATTTTTGTGCTTCAGAGACTGAGGCTTAATACATTGCTGTTTTTGTGAACTAATACTCTTGCTTTACTTGTGCTGCCCATCCCCTTTAGTTTAAGAAGTACAACTCTACACTCATTTCAACTGAACATCAGATATCAACCAGTACTTACATGTACCCAGGACCCTAAAACCTTAACTGCTGGTGATATCTTCTACTCTGATGTTGATAAGATGTTTTTTCCTGTTTCAGATGCCCCTTCCTCCTCTAGTATGGATGAGAAATCTACATCTGAGGATGAGCCTGTCCTCCTAACTTTGGAGCTTGTTCTGCTGGACCTGACATGGATCAGACTACCAAAGGTGGATGAGGGTCAACTCATCATCCCGGCTCTATGTTTCAAGATGCTAGACTTCCCTTTAGTGACATTCTCACCTCAGTATGAGTCTGAAAGCAGCAAGGATGGTGTTGTCATCTACAACCAGGGCAAGTCGTGTATTTTCCGCACTAGCCTGCAGTTGCTTAGTCAACAGTTAGCCACCTACCCCATATATTCCTTCTTAATGGATACAGGATGTCAGCCTGCTCCTATGATTGCATTTGGTTCATTCCCTCTGCAGACAGTCATAGAGGACATCAGCAATTTCACCAAGGCTGGCTGCACTGACTGGCCCACTGTCAGTGCTCAGCGTGGGCAGGCTTACCTTCGCAACACGCGCGGCAAGAGGGTGGCGCTCGTCAACTTCGCGCTGCGTCTCAGCTGCCTGTCGGACTGCGGTGGTGGCGGCGCTGCGCCCGGCGCCACGGGCGAGCCGGCCGCAGCGGCTGCTCCCTGGCCCCAGTGGAACCATCCTCTAGCCGATGACGCGACTACCGTCGGTGGGAAGGCGGCGGCCGTCGAGTCGCGGGAGTCGCTCGAATCGACGCGGGAGGTGCGCGTTTCTCGGCGGCCGGAGCGCGACGCGCTGTCGGAGGCTGCGCAGGAGGTGCGAGCGGTGCGTTTAGACCGGCCGCCGCCGAGGACTGGTCTCCCTGGAAACCGGCACGTCGCCTGGGGACTACAATCACAGCAGCCGCAGCAGGAACATAATCACCTGCAGCAGCACCACCAGCAACCGCAACCGCACCAGCAACAGCAGCTTTACCAACAGCACCAGCAGCAGCAGCAGCAAAGCTGGGCTAGCCGCCCCGACGCCAGTCGACAGGGCCGACCGGCGCTGTTCGAACACACCCGCTTGGAGGATGTTGACGAGTGCGCTCCGGCTGCCCCTCCTCCTCCGCCCCCCGTGGGTCGACCGTGGGGTGGTCGGCAGGGCACTGTCCCAGCCGCTGCTCGCTCCCGCTCCTCCAGTGCCGAGCGGGGCCCAGACCCTACCGGCGGCAGCTGCTGGCGGGCGCCGCTGGAGACCGACGAGGGTTCGCTGGCGTCTGACGCGTCCAGCGGGCCGATTGTGACGCGCCTTATCCAGGAGCTGGCCGCCATGCAGCGCACTGGCGCTGAGAGCAAGCACGTGGCCGTGCAAACCAGACCGTGAGTATCCGCGGCTAGATGGTCAACTAAGCTGAGATGAGTTACTATGGCTATGAATGTGTCGTGTGCTTCTGCTATGATCATGGATGTTCGGTACAGAAATGAATTTATCTCATTTCTACAAATACAAATGTCAGAAGACAGTAATTGTGTTTGTTCTTACGTGCTGTTTGCCACATATCAGACTAGTATGTAGAAAATTAACGCATTTAGGCATTTACGTCAGGACTAGAGCTCGGCTTTTAACCGCATCTGGTATTTTGCAGGCTCAGGGAGCTGCTGGAGATGAGAGGCCCGCCGCCGCCCGCGCCGATCCGGCTGAGGGGGCGGCGCCGGCCGCGGCCGCCGCGGATCCGTCGTCTGCCGCTGATCTCCGAAGAGCCGGTCACGGAGGGGTTCGCTCGCCGGCGGCCGGCCGCGGCGGGTCTGGTGCACCGTCCGCCGCCGCCCGATACCACAGTGGTGGATCGGCTGAGCCGCGGTCAGCCAGTGACCGAGCGACGCGCCGTGGGGGGCCGTCTGCGCGCGCCGCCGCCCCGGCTGAGGCCGGTGACACTGACTCGGACCGCCCAGCTCCGGCTGGCGAAACACATGGCGGATGTGCGACACGACCTTCACGCTCAGGAGTACGGCCGGCGGCGCGATCGGTGGCTGGCCGAGCAGCGCAGAAAGATGGGCAGGACCCGGCCGCCGCCGCCGCCCCCAGAGGCGCTCTCTCCGCCGCGAGAGATGTCGCCTCACTCTGCTCGCTCCGGCCCGGCGAGAAAGCGGCGGGCGCGACCGGGAGTGCCACACCCGCGAGTTATCACCGCTATGAAGAGCATCGGTGTGCAGTTTGAGTCGGAAGGCAGCCCTCCGCCGGCTGAAGGTCGTAGTAAATCGACCAAGACGGCTGTGACGGCCAAGAAGGGACGTGCTCCTTCACCCACTCCGTTCGTAGAACCCCGGTCGTCTCAGCCGTCGCGATCGACGGAATCACGCCCCGTCGTGATCGACTTTAAATCTCCACCCGATCAAAGTACAGTGAAGACGCCATCTGAAGGCCGCTACTCTACTGGAGCAATGTCCAACCATGATGAGGCTGCCGAGCTGCTCGGTCTGAGTCGAGCCGACGCTGGTCCCCGCGGCGCACGCCGGTCTCAGTCTGCCACTGCGTCTCGGTCACAGGGTGACCCCGGCTCCCAGTCAGGATCAGCGGTGAGGTCTCGCTCTGAGACGGTCGCCGGCCTCTCAGAATCCCCTGTTGTGACGCCGCCCCGCTCGGCTGAGAGAAGCAAACCGTCTCCGACTCTCATAGATTCTGAGAGTGGGCAGCGGCGGCTGCACTCGGCGAGTTCGAAAGAACGTCAGGCTTCAGAGGGAGGGAAGACAGGTGCTAGTGCTACTAAGAGTGGCAACAGCAGCCGCAGCAGTAGCAGCAGCTCCCGAGGCAGCGGTAGTCATGGGCGAAAGAAGTCACCATCTGTCATCGCTGATAGTGGAGCAGCGCCTCAGGGTCCGGCAGGCGGGAGCAGCGGCGGAGAATCACTCTCCTCCTCTACACTGCGGACGGAGCGGCACGTCTCTGAAGAGATGGTGAGCGTCCCGCATCGCTCACCGCCCAGCGCTGCCGCCTCGGTGAAAACTGAGAGCGCTCCGGTCACCGCCAGCCGGCGGACCAGCTCCTCGACCACGACGGCCACCGGCTCAGTCGCGCCGACTCGGTCTGACTCGGCATCACAGGTGGGCGCGGAGGGCACCTCTGCAACACGGACGAGCTCAACGAGTAGCAGTGAGAGCAGCGAGGATTCGTCTGACTCGTCAGAGAGCTCCAGTTCGGAAACGGAGACGAGTCAGAGCCAGACTCGGACCCAAACTTCGGCTACTCAGACCGGTTCTAGTGTGGGACGGGCGCCGACACCGGCCCGACGTGGCGGCAGGTCACCGGCCAAACCCACAGCTGGTGCCAAATCACCCACCAAACCCACAGCCGGCGCCAGGTCACCAGCGAAACCTGCAGCCGGCGCCAGACCGAAGCCGGCACCCCGGGGGCCGCCCACCTGGCAGCGTGTTGAGGATTCCCCTGCGGTCTCGACGGGAAGTTTCGGGCCGACCGGGAAAGCAGCAGTGGCGAGCTCTGAACAGGCCGGGAAGGCGGCAGCGGGAAGCTCAAAGCCAGGGGCGGCCAGTCGTTCGCGTTGCTCCTCCAGTTGTGACTCAGCAGAGATCGACGCTCGTATTGCCATGTTCCTGAAGCAGAGTGGCGACAAAAAGGAGAAAGAGGAGCAGGAGCGTCGTAAGGAGCAGGAACAGAAGACCGTCGCTGCTGCGCCGCCCGGCGCAGGCTGGCTGAAAGGATCGTCCCCTTCGCTGGGTGGCGTAGGGGCTGGTGCCGGCAGCGGCGGGCTCGGTGCCGGCAGCAGTGCTCTTGGTGCCGGCAGCGGCGGTGGCACCTCCTGGCTGAAGGCCTGGCGTGTGGACGAAGACATCACCACCCCTGCGGTGGGCCGGCGTCCCAGCCGCGGTCGTCACACGCTACCTCAGCCGGCGGCCGGCCTGAACACAGACTCGGTGAGTTCGTACGCTCCGTCGGATCTGGGGGGTGGAACATTGAGCGACCTGACCCCTCCTTAGGAATGGTACGGCCACACGGGGCAGTGACACTCATTAGACGGCGATGTCAGTGGTAAAGGGCCGAAATCGCTGACATGGCGAGCAGAGGTTTCAATGCCAATGAACGAATATTCTGGAATGGAGTCGGTCAGTATCCTCTCTGGGATTTGACATTCGTCTCCACGAGTGGGAACAATGTCTTTTGACTGAGGATAAAACAAGGGGCGAGACTAGGTGTGAATGATTTCGGAATTATTCCGAAAACAGGATAAGCGTGGGGTTCGAATTTCCGTTTATTGGTACTTGCTTTTTTTTCTCAAATTGTCGATATGAGTCCATGGGATCTGTGATACGATACATATCGCATACATATTGTGGTCCAATTAGATCATTGACTATTTTCCGTCCATTCATCGATGCATTGTGCTCTGGATTCATTTTACGTGTACAATTTCATGACTGGGGATAGTCAATGTCGCGAAATGTTCCTTCGATACATAGGTATCTAGAAGCAACTGGTAATAGCGATCAGCGATCTCATAATTTTTTTTTCATAAATTGTCACCTTGTGTGTTCATAAAACTGCGTGTCACTGCGTGTTGATGTAACCTTAATCATCAAGTTAGTTATCGTTGTACGATGAAATAGTCAATGAATTGCTCCACCATTGAACCAGGCACACTTTTGTGCGCAATTTATTTACCAATCAACATTTGACGAGTTGTGAAAGTCGAAGAAGGAATGTTTGCGTTACTTATTTTACGCCACTAAACGATGCAATGTGCTCATATCAAAGCTAGTCATTGAGCATTCTAGTCATTGTCTGAAGAGTTATTTTTGCACTATTCTGGTGTTTGTAAATCAAGAATGTCACCAAATAAAGTACAACATCTTTATTCTACCATGTGTTTGCGTGCACTTACGGGGAAGAGTGAATTGTAGCAATAGCTTGTGACTGAAGAAACGAGCTTATTAGCGGTTGAGATAGACCGCAAATAGTTATTTTCAAGTACATCTACTCAATAGTTACGCATTGACTGCACATAAAACAATGCCACGACTAGTGCAATTAGGCAAAGCAAGCCTCATTCCGCCCGTAGCATAACGAGCAACAATAGTGTTGCACGTTTGCCACTGTTTACAACATATGCTGACAATCACTCCTGTGAGCACCAGTCATAACCAACTGGACCGTAACTGCAGTGGCTCGTGCGTCGAAACTGAGAGTGCGCCCATTGGCCGTGTCATGGGTGCCGTCTGCACGCTGTGCTAAAATGAAAGTCGCGGCGGGTCGCCGGGCGTGTCGGCGGATCGTCACCCGATGACACTTGGGACGGCCGCCGCTCCAATCGTCAGTGCTGCTCGGGCCACCGGCCGGTCGGTAGCTCCGAGGGGAGATTGGGACTACCTGCGTACACATCACATCATCTGACACCGTGGAAGCTTCAGGAGCACCTACATCACTGAGTGCTCGCCTCTCGGGTCCCGGAGGAGTCCCGACCAGTGGCTGCCACCGTCCCTGTTCGCAGCGAGACGACATAGTCGCCGGAGGTAGCCGGCTGGTCAACGGGTAGCACCATTACTGCATTCACCGCCACTGGGTAAGTACTAAGTACCGTGTCTAAAAGGCTTTCGGCTTGTTGTTGCGTTCAGGCTCTTCCGGAAGCTGATTCTGATTTGTGTTCCGCACGTTTTTAAAGTCTGACCTAAAGCAAAATGGTGTTACCAAATACCAGTGTCCCTAAAATGACGTTGGACGGTCGGGAGGTCGTCTCTTTGTCTCAAAGTGGCCCAGGAGTCAGCGATTTGTTATGAATCAAGCTTTTAAATTGAATCATGCACTGGAAATTACATCCTCCACATCTCTGAAATATAAGGATTAAAACCGTTACTAGGGATGACGCTCGTGGGATAAGATGGGTTGCGTTGTATAGCTCGTTGACAACCACTGCATATCGGGTCATCCCTCGTTCAGTACGTCTCTGTGCCAGGAGCCTTCGCAGCAGCCGCGTCCCACAGCTCCCCCAGCCACCCACAGCCCGTAACACCGCGCTGCCGTGACCCTCCAACCGTGGCGATGCGAGTGACGCTCGGTTCCCTCAACCAGGCGACTTTCCCGACAGCGTCACCGCCGCACACTCCTTCACCAGGCAACCAGTCACGGCTGACGTGACGCGCGCAGTTAACGCAGATACGCAGTAATCGGGCGTGGCCAGTAATGGGTGCTTGGGGCCACGAGCGTTCCGTTCAGTGGAACACAGGCGTGCAGTGGTGTGAATAGCTCATAGTTCCGGAAATAAAGTCAGTCAAGGCGACGGATCCAATCGGTAAATGTGAGGCGAATTTGTGTTAGCGGGGAGACTGTGACATGACGGGCGATGAGAGTGAAAAGATCGCAGCCGCTGTGGAAGTTTGTAGGGTATGGGAAGTAGGAAGACTAAGCTTCAAAAGACGTGCAGTGTGCCACCGTAGTCTCAAAGAGTGGGTGCCTTGCCTTTAGAAGACGGGAGCTTCTGGATTCAGGGAACGGATGCTGGGTGACGGACTGAATGCTGATGAAGTGACAATGTAAGAATGTGTGTACCGACGCGGTGGGGTGTGACGGTGCGAACACTGCCTATTACCTACTGCCGTGTTTACCGTGCAACTCTCAACTCCCTGAGGCCCATGGTTCGCGTCCCGGGACCGCGTCAGCTAATGTCGCCTCAACATTACATAAAACATAAACACCCACGCGGTGGTGACGGACGGTCACGGTGTGCCCACGTCAGTTTCTCCCGCAGGGTGCCCGCTGAGTTTGTGACGCGCCCCTGAGCAGCGCACCGGCTGTGAAACGGCACGCACCCGAGCGGAGCGGCGCCCCGCCAACCCCAGCTCTCATTGAGTCTTGGAGAAGGAGGCGCGCATGTGAGACGTCATATAACGGTTACGTGCACATCCTCTCACTTTTCCTCCTTGGTCTTCGCCAAATGTTCATTGCATAATTGCTTCGATATGGTCCAGTCATGATGAGCTAATGGTGTGCCCTGTGGTGACGTTATCTTCATCATAAAACCCTAGGCCGGCATGACGATTAATTCTTACCCTAACTCGAACATTTAATTGCATTCTTCAACTTACTGCCTTGATTCAGCAACGCTGGCCTGACTTTTTCATAGATCTCTGCTAACAGTAACTTGGTGAAGTCTTCCCGGACATTAGCCCACCGGACACGACACCCTCCACTGGCATAAATATCGTTTGCCTGCATCTGGGGTTTTGGTTCCTACACGAGACGACGAAAGCTGGAATGTAGAAGACATTGAATCGTATTGCCGAAATACAGGATGACTCCAAATTAACCCTCATGACCCCCCCCCTGACAACCGCCCGATATTGACCTCTGCTTATTCCCACGCCAGGATGGTTCGTCACGCTTTTCTGGTGGCCACTCTGGCCTTCTGGCTTCCGCTGGCCGACCCGGAGCCGACGCCCGCACCCTCCCCGGAGGCCCTGCCGACGCCCAAGCTCAGTGCCCCGGCGCCCACCAAGCCGTCGGCGCCCGCAGCGGCCGAGCCGGCGCCCACAGCGGCGGCGCTGGCCGCCGCCCACCGCGCTGCACCCTACCAGCTGCTGCCTCTGGCTCCCAGCTACGGCGAGCCGAGCGCGACGCACGGCGCGCGACGCGACTACGACCCGAGGACCCCGGCGCACGGCTCGGCGGCAGACTACGGAGAGACTGAGAGGAGTTATGGCGCACCGGCGCACGGCTACGGCGCCCCGGCACACGGCTACGGTGCACCACCCGTCGAGAACTACTGCTACGCTAAGACACACTTCAAGACCACCTGGCTGCCCATGACGCAGTACAAGACACACTGGGCGACAAAGCAGATAGTGGTGCCGTTCACAATGTACAAGTACGTCACAGCCACCAGCTACTGGCCGACCACGCACACCGAATGGAAGGAGGTGGTGAAGACGCTGCCGTACCGCTACGTGGCCAAAACGCAGGTGGTCTACCGCACCAAGACACTGCTGGAGAAGCACCAGGACTACACCAACACTGAGTATGTGTGGCACACGCAGAACTACATGGATCACCACACGGTCACCAAGCACATCACCAAGTACGTCACCAAGACCAACTACTACACGGATACGGTGACGGAGTACGTGCAGAAGCCGGTGTACTACACGGAGACGGCCACTGTGTACGAGGCCAAGTACCAGACGCGCAAGGTCACAGAGCCCTACTACGAGACGGTATACGTGAGTACAAACCAAATCGACGTGTCAGACAATTCATATTGAAGAAATAGGTACTACTAAATACTAATCGTCAATGAAGCTGAGCTTTGAGAATGGCCGAATGAGCATATTCTATGTCTGGTCTCAGTTGGTACCCAAATACAGTGGGCGCTTTCTGTGTCACAATTGCTACACGAAAATACTGAAAATGTACGATGAAAACTCGACCGAAAGTTTAGCATAACTAGATATTGCACAGCAGACATTACTATCTGCCATTCTTGCTAATAGAAAAGTATTGACTGTTGAGGTGTGGAATATTTGAGAAGGGCGGCACGCTAATAGACTCCAATCTGTCCCAATCTGTCCCATTCGTCCCCTTTACCCTTCTGTTTTCTTCCTCGACAGAAAACGGTGAAGAAACCGGAGCCGATATACGTGACCGACTACAAGACCAAGCAGCAGTACCACACCGTGTACCGGACACACAACAAGGAGGTGTACCACACCGTCACCCGGTGCCCCTACCGGCCGACCGGCTACCACTGAGGTCAGTACGTCATATCAGTGGCACTACCGACCGGCCGGCTATCACTGAGGTCAGTACGGGATGTCACAGCCCACAGTGTCCCTACCGGCCGACCGGCTATCACTGAGGTCAGTAGTGCCCCTACCGGCCGACCGGCTATCACTGAGGTCAGTGCGGGATGTCACAGCCCACAGTGCCCCTACCGGCCGACTGGCTATCACTGAGGTCAGTACGTAATATCAGTGGTACTACCGACCGGCCGGCTATCACGTTGAGGTCAGTACGTGACGTCATACTGTCCCCACCGGACTACCGGCTGAGGTTAATGCATGTTAGAGTGCCCCTACCGGCTAACAGAGGTCAGTTAACACTCCCACTGGCCGACCGGCTATCAGTTATCACTGAGATAAAATCACGAATGTCCAGAGTCCATCGAAGTGTAAAACACCAACAATCAGAAAGCCACAAGTCACAAGGACAGACAGGACTACACGCTAAAAATACAGTTAAAGGCAAAGGCCTTCATTCGGTCTACACCGTATTTCTTGGACTGATATAAATGCCAAAACGTAGCCGAACTTCTGACAACAGCACAAAAACATGTTTTTCCCCATGTATAGACCGATGCTGACTGAAATGTGCCCTCCAGCAGGTTCAGAATGCGGACACAGCCTCACTGCGGTTATATTCGCCGTGAGCCAGCCGTCGAGATATAATGCCAAAGAAGCAGCAGCGACACTGCATTGTCCGACCGAAACGGCCGTAGACTGCCAACTGCCGGAGGTCCACAGTAGGGCTTCAAAGGCTCGAGGGGGCGGGGCCGGGCTTTCATGACCGTCTGGACTTCCGTGACGTATGTATGCGTGGGTGTGCGTGCATGTGCGTGTTTTGTGATGTTTTAAAGAGGAGGCGCTTGCGTTGGATGATGGAAATGGCTGTGTTTGTAGAATGATTATTATCCGTATCGCTACTATTCTCAGATTTTTATCAGCAACTTAAATCAATTGATGAGCGGTTATTTATACGGATCAGATTAAATCGTAGTTGCTAGCATTTAGCTGTTAAGGCCGACTGTTTAATTTATAATAAAAGGCGAGGAATGTACCAGAACACATGGTGTTTATTGCTCTGAATGTGCAAGTTTAATATAGTTATCTTGCGGGCAACAAAAACGATCATCAGATGGTCAAATAAACATGATGCCGGTATAACGGAAAGCAAGCATGTAAATGCATGATGCATAAAGGTATCACGAATATTCACCCTCACAAATCGGAAATAAACCCCCACACGATCACACCCTTCAGAAAACAAAACGGTCACAGACAAGTGGAGTGAATAACCCACCCAGCCGACTTTGGAACTGACCCCACCGCCCAGTTCTCCCCCACCATAACCCTAGAAGATCTTTCCCTTCACATCCCCAGCCCAATACCGCCTGCCCTGTAAGGCAAAGACGCACGCCAGCCCCCTGTTTCGTTAGAAATAATGCCGACTGTGTGTTGACTGTTGAGCCCGCAAGCTCAAGCTCCGCTTTTTACCTCTCTCTGCCACCGAGCGGGTCACTCTCGCCTGCCCGCCGATCGCCGCTCCCTAGAGCTCCTCCTTCCGTTCGATTTTCACCAGGTCCACCTCGAAGACGAGCGTGGCTCCGCCGGGGATCTTGGGCGGCGCGCCGCTGCTGCCGTAGCCGAGATCGGGCGGGATCACCAGCTTACGCTTCTCGCCCTCACACATCCTGCAGCACGTCAGAGGCGTGTGTTGGATACTGTCTATCTCGCCTCAAGAACGTACGTACCAGCTCCGGATTGTAATTAGGGATAGGTTTAATCACAAATCCGTAGTGTGTATCTATCTATAGAGGTCTAGGCACATCTGAATTTGGCGGTCTACGCTGCAAGACTATAACAGACCCGGAAAACTCAAGGCCCATGGCACCGTACTCACCCAATGAGTCCCTGGTCCCAGCCCTTGATGACCTGGCCAGATCCGAGGGTAAATGTGAGCGGCTGGCCGCGGGGAATGCTGCTGTCAAATTCTGTACCGTCTTCCAGCGTGCCCTGTGCAGACAGAGGCGATCATATCAGAGAGAGTGAGTTAGAGTTAGAGTTAGAGTCAATCAGTCAGTCAGGGAGGGAGGGAGGGAGAGAGGGATAGGGGGAGAGAGGGATAGGGGGAGAGAGAGAGAGAGAGAGAGAGAGAGAGAGAGAGAGAGAGAGAGAGAGAGAGAGAGAGAGAGAGAGAGAGAGAGAGAGAGAGAGAGAGAGAGAGAGAGAGAGAGAGAGAGAGAGAGAGAGAGAGAGAGAGAGAGAGAGAGAGAGAGAGAGAGAGAGAGAGAGAGAGAGAGAGAGAGAGAGAGAGAGAGAGAGAGAGAGAGAGAGAGAGAGAGAGAGAGAGAGAGAGAGAGAGAGAGAGAGAGAGAGAGAGAGAGAGAGAGAGAGAGAGAGAGAGAGAGAGAGAGAGAGAGAGAGAGAGAGAGAGAGAGAGAGAGAGAGAGAGAGAGAGAGAGAGAGAGAGAGAGAGAGAGAGAGAGAGAGAGAGAGAGAGAGAGAGAGAGAGAGAGAGAGAGAGAGAGAGAGAGAGAGAGAGAGAGAGAGAGAGAGAGAGAGAGAGAGAGAGAGAGAGAGAGAGAGAGAGAGAGAGAGAGAGAGAGAGAGAGAGAGAGAGAGAGAGAGAGAGAGAGAGAGAGAGAGGGTCAGGGGGGAAGGGCATTCAGAAGAGCCACGAATTGCTCCTGTGATGTGGCAATAGCATGGGTGAGGGAGGGAGGAATTGCGAGGGAGAGAGATGGAGTCTAACAGTCAAAGGAAACCCCAGCAATCAGAGTCAATGATTCAATGGTACAGCTAGTCAACTGCTACCATACTTTTACAGTCTCCATTGGGCAGCCTGTAGGACCAAGCATGACACTATTACCGCATGCATAATGCATATACATACCGTATAATGCATGTGGAGAAGATCTCCTCTGCGAGACTTGATGGAGCAGTCTTCTATTCTCTTCTTTATGCCAATCTGCAATTTCTTCTGTTCTCGCTTTGGCTCTTCTGCGTTTACGAGAGTTGCCAGCAGAAGCAACAGTGTGCCACTCGAGTGCTGTAATCAGAGAAAATGACTTTATTCATGCATTCAGGGCCACTTCTGAATAACCACCTATTAGGTATATCTAGCATGGTGATTGAGCAATGACTCAGTCTAAGGCTGGATGCACTTTTCATGCAGCGCACGCTTCAACTTCCACTATTTTAGGTAAAGTGAGACTTAGCATGTTATAACAATGCATCTGATTTAGGCGAAGTGTTTTAAATTTACTTTGAAGTTCATTGACACGACAGCAGGAAAATCCTTGATATTTTCACTGAGAAATATTTATAAGTTTTATAGGATAGGCGATGGTGACGATGATCACAAGGCATCATCGTGAAGGGCAAAGCTTGTACCACACTTACAGCAACCCTCATTTTTATTTTTTCCGACAGTTTTCAGTTTGGTTTCCAATAAACTACAGTACGAAATCGTAATAATCTACACTTCCGCGGCAACACCAATAGCAGAATCAAATGCCGGCAAAAAATTCAGACGACATTCAACTGTATAACTGCTTGCTGAAGCATTCAAGGTTATTTGAATGGTTTGGATTATTTCTTGGAAATTTTTAGCTCAACATGACGTCAAATCCGTTATTTCTAAGAAACACTTGTGTTTTGTAACAGTTGATTGAGATTACAAAATAAACAGATTATATATTAATTTATAAGAGTTGTTTATATATGTAAAAAGTATTTCATCGGCACTCAAACATTATTTTTGTATTGCTATATGTCATTATATACGAAAGTTAAAATCTACTTCTTCATAAATGGCGCACCAATGACGTTTATTGCTTTACGTGCGACGTGGTGAATTATTTTTGCATTTGCGAAGGTTCTTTCCAAGGCCCTGAGTTCTTTCCAATTACATGCTTGTTACCTCTCTCTTTACTCTTTAGTGCCCTGCTTGTTACATTGATTTGACGCATTGAATTATCATCAATATTATCTGGAGGTTGACTACACCATCCAGTTTCTTACTGGTATGTATCGGCCGCAATTCGCAATCAATGGTCCCCCGTGCTCCTTGTCAAATGCCTACTACCTACCTACCCAAGCTACCTACCTACTTGCTCAAATTAAATAGTACCTAAAATGGGCAAATATTTAGATGACTTTCTAACGTTCTGGTTCTTGGCAATGGCATCGAACATTGGCCACCACAACAACCCCTTACGTAATCTTTTAATTCGCATGAACTTTGATTTTTTTAACTGAATAAGGAATGCTTTTAAATATATTCACACCTTTTAGGCCCAGTTAAGACTTGAAGATAATGAGCATATGGTTATTTCTCTACAATATGGCATGCACTTTACTATGGTGTCAGGAGTGCAGTCTGTAGTCTATGGGGATTATGATGAGGATGCATACTTGAACACATGTTTCATATAGGTAGGTTGAAAGGCATGGGATAAGTTTGCATGCTACTTAATCACCAGATGATGCCCAATACTTTTGGCTGCAAAGACATCTTTAAATTCAAGACATTCATTTTGCTTCTTTATGATGGTTTCCACTTGAGTCCTGACCGCTTATGTGCACATTTTTCAAGCTTGTTCATTTCGTTTACTCTGAATACTGTTTTTTCTAAGGGAAAGAAGGAATTTTTTGTTTGGAATACTGTTTGTTCTAACAATAACCAGTGACTGTTTCCTTTGCAGAGGTAGACAGCAGGCATCAATAAGCAGGCTGTGGCTGTGGCACCATGTCACACTGCCTGTGGCGGCTGCCCCAGCCAGTGCGGCTGATCGTGCAGCAGCAGGTCCGGGGCCGGCTGAAGCTCCGTGGCCGGCCGCCGGGCGACGCTCTCTCACTGGAGGAGCGGCTTCGTCGTTTGGCGCCGCCGGCCGCTCCGGCTGTCAACATCGGCTTCCAGCAGCGTCCGGCGCCGAGCCGCATAGAGTACACGGATGTGGTGCGCCGGAACCGGTCGGACGCGGCGCTGGAGCGGGCCGCGCGCGACCGCCAGCTGCGGCTGCCGCTGGCCGACGTACAGGCTGAGTTCGCCGCCAGCTCGCTGGGCCCCGAGCACGCGCGCAATGTGGCCGAGCACTATAGCGTCATGGAGGGACTGTTCGGCGCCGGCGCCTTCTTCACACCCGTTCTGCCGCTGCGCGTGGCGTTCGCGACCTCCGCCGAGGAGGAGGCGGTGGTGCACCTCGGTAACGCCATCAAGCCTGCCGAGGCCCTCACTGAGCCGGAGGTGACGTACGCCGCCCCGGAGGACTCCTTGTGGACGCTGCTGTGTACTAACCTGGAGGGCAGTCTGAGCGGCGACGCGCCAGAGGTGCTCCACTGGCTGGTGACCGACATCCCGGGCGGTGCGGTGTTGCGCGGCCGTCAGCTGCGGCCCTACCTGCAGCCCCTGCCGTTCCGCGGCACCGGTTACCACCGGCTGGCGTTTGTACTGTTCAAACAGGACGGCCCGCTGCCGGAGGAGGCACCTCAGCAGAGTGGGGACGTGCTGGAGAGCCGCGGGTTCAGCACCGAGGAGTTCTACCGGCGCCACGAGGAGCGTCTGACGCCCGCCGGCCTGGCGTTCTTCCAGTCAGACTGGGACAGCTCAGTCACTGAGTTCTTCCACCGGCAGCTGGAGCGGCGCGAGCCCGTCTTCGAGTACGACTTTCCACAGCCGTACATCCGACGCCAGCGGTGGTTCCCCAAAGGCGAGAGCGTGGTCCATTACTTCGACAAGTACGCCGACCCGCGTGACCTCCAGAAGCAGATGCTGCTCAAGAGACTCGCCATGGTGGACCCCTTCGAGGGCGTGCGGGAGGGCCCCAAGTACCCGTTGGCAGTGCCCAAGAAGCGGGGCCAGCGGCCGCCCACCTGGGTTATCAACGAGCAGCGCAAAGAGGCGCGCAAAATCAGCAAGTATTATTACATTGACCGGCGGCCTGAGACAGTGTTCGATCCGAGCTGCTAGCGTTGGCTAGCGGACTGGGTACTGGATTGTCTGGTGGGTAAATGAGTGAGTGCGTACTGTTAACATTGTTATGCAAGGGACTGCTGGGAGTTTTGTGTGTTGTCGCCTCAGTTCGAGAGTATGAGCTAAATAATGTGTGATTTTAGAGGCAGTTTTCGATGTCCGTGCTATGTGTGATTGTACATTTTGTATTTACTGAATACTGACCGCAGCTCAAATATTCCACTTTTTTGCAGGCTTTCTATTGAGTACTGAGTACCGAGTACTTTTTGCACTGATGTTCACCATCAATCTCGTCCGAATTGCTAACTCAACGTAGAATTTGAGACAGACAGAGGCTTGAAAGTATGTAAGCAGGAATGTAACATGTAAACCTTGGAATATTAGCTTCTTTGCAGTTCGGATAGCGTATCTAAATAACTCTGTCCCCTTCTCAGGAACCTTTGCATTCTTGTGAGGTTCGTCACTAAAATACAAAGAATAGTACATACCTACTCACGGTTATTGCATCCCTTTTGACCTTATACGGCACTGTCTGATGAGTGATGCTCCAAGCCAGATGGGATGGTATACATCACCAGGCCAATCGGTATCAGCGAAGCGATCTTCGTTTATACGGCCTGCGTGCGTCCGTCTGTTCTGACCTTGCGTCACAATCACAACAGCTGGCGTGTGGTGGGCGTCCTGGCGGACAGCTGATGAGGTGACTCCTTCCGTTGGCCATGACGAGCCGCCAGTGACGTCATCGTGACGTCACCACGGCGCGACTGGACCCGGAGGCAGTGTCTATGTGAGTAAGCCAAACACTGGTGCGGGGGCCCTCCTGGACTGCCTCCTTATAAGGAGTTGGCTGAGCGATCCGCTCGCGGCTCGATGCACGCGAGTGTCGATAACAGAGCGAAGGTTTCGATTGAGTAGGCGATTAGCTGCGTTCTTCTAAAAGCATGGAGTTCTTGGCCTGTCGGAAAGAGGTGCGGAATAGGATAATGACATTAAAAGGTCAAGAAGTGTCTCAGCATTTTCTACCTAGAGAAGAAAAGTTTCATATAAAGTATACAGGTAGCTGTTCCTTTTGTGTATTACGCTGTCAGTCAGCCTATAATGCGCTATACCTCCGTTCGATATCGATGGATTCATTGTAACCAATTAGAGCGTCGGTCATTGGATTCAATTATCATTCAGTGGTGTCTATCATGACAAGCTAATAGCTTATTTAACGTTTCCTTCGACGCAATAGCAGCTAGCTAGCTCGTCCTAATTTTCTGCCGTCTCAGCTTCTCCACTCGCCATTGCTGACTGTTGAGCTGCACGAACCACTTCCACCACCACACAAAAACAACTGTTTGGCAAAGAGGATTTGGTCGATATTATTGTACCATTATTGCCATGAGAACATACTGTAATGATGAGTATCTGCAACGTCCAGCACACACCACCATGACTGTAGCATTGACAACATGTAGAAAACTAACGACCGGGCCCCGGGCGACCAGACGCCGTCGAGCGGGGCCTCGCACGCCGACAGACACACCTATCACCCGCGGTGGCGCTATCACTCACCCAGAGCCAGTCAGTGTACACTGCGCCGGCTCTCCTCACACCTAGCACAATAAATACGTTTCCTCGCGCCGCACTCACGTCACGTCACACTGACGGCAGAGTGCCGCCGAACGGTGTCCTCTCGGAGGAGCACCTGGACATCACAGTCGTCCCCCTTCCTATCCATCCTCCAGTGGCGCAGCCAGGGGGGGGGGGTCAGAGGGTCAGCTGACCCCCCCGAAATTTCTGTCAGGGGCCCGCTCGAGAGAGAGAGAGAGAGAGAGAGAGAGAGAGAGAGAGAGAGAGAGAGAGAGAGAGAGAGAGAGAGAGAGAGAGAGAGAGAGAGAGAGAGAGAGAGAGAGAGAGAGAGAGAGAGAGAGAGAGAGAGAGAGAGAGAGAGAGAGAGAGAGAGAGAGAGAGAGAGAGAGAGAGAGAGGGAGGGAGGGAGGGAGGAGAGAGGTCCTAATCTAACCGGACGAGAAAACTGGCCCGGGCCCACTGAGTGGATGGGGCCCGGGCCCCCCGTGGATGGGTCCGGGCCCCCGGGAGAACGGGCCCCGGGCCTCGGGTGGACGGGGTCCGGACTCCCGGTTGGATGGCGCCCGGGCCCCCGGGAGAACTGACTCGGGCCCCTGGGAGAACGAGCCGGACCCCCTGGGTGGATGGGGCCCGGGCCCCCGTGGATGGGTCCGGGCCCCCGGGCGAACGGGCCCCGGGCCCCGGGTGGACGGGGCCCGGACCCCGGTTGGATGGGGCCCCGGCCCCCGGGAGAACGGGCCCGGGCCTCCCGGAGAACGGGCCCGGGCCCCCGGGAGAACTGGCCCGGGCCCCTGGGAGAACGGGTCCGGGCCCCTGTGTGGATGGGGCCCGGGCCCCCCGTGGATGGGTCCGGAACCCCGGGAGAACGGGCCCCGGATGGACGAGGCCCGGACCCCCCGTTGGATGGGGCCCGGGCCCCCGGGAGAACTGGCTCGGGACCCTGGGAGAACGGGCCCGGACCCCCTGGGTGGATGGGTCCGGGCCCCTGGAGAACGGACCCCGGGCCCCGGGTGGACGGGGCCCGGATCCCCGGTTGGATGGGGCCCCGGCCCCCGGGAGAACGGGCCCGGGCCCCCGGGAGAACTGGCCCGGGCCCCTGGGAGAACGGGGCCGGGCCCCCCTTTGTAGATAGGGCCCGGGCTTCCCGTGGATGGGTCCGGGGCCGCGGGAGAACTGGGCCGCTTGGGCGATTGTTTCGCTGTAATTTTTGTAGGGTAGCTGCATCCCTTCTACCAAAGGTCGGGTACTGTTGATCTATGTGAGTGACCCCCACTGCACGTGCAAAATACAAAAAGAAGAGGTGCCAAATTTGTTCCCATTTCAATAACTCGGTAATTACTGGGGCGATTTCGCTGAAACTTGGCATACAGGTAGGCACCCAACAGGCAATGCGATCCCATGTGTTGCGGTTAGGGTGCTACTGCACGTGCGCACGTGCAGCGGGGTGCTTCCAGATCTCGAGAACGGCTGGGCCGATTGCGCTCAAATTTGGTACACGGTTGGGGACCGGTTAGTAGGGTGCCGTGCAAAAGTCAGTTTGGACCCCGTTCGCACGTGCGCACGTGCAGAATGCCGCTTCCTGATCTCAGGAACGGCTGGGCCGATCGCGTTCAAATTTGGCGCACCGCTAGCGACCGGTTAGAAGGGTGCTTTGCAAATGCACAAGCCTGTTGGAAGTACCCTCTCGCCCTTCCGCACGTGCAGGGCTCACTATCTCGCTCGCTCGTTCTTCGCCCAAAAGGTGTTTTACTGGTAGTAACATATTTCTGTCGATACAATTGTAGTGTGAGAGTTGGGTTTTGGAGGCTGTCGTCTCGGCGCCGCGGGGAGCGTCGGCCGGCCGCCGTCTGCCCCGTCCCCTCCGGTGTGGACGGAGGGCACATCTGGTGTCGGAGCGGTCCCGGCGGCCGTTCGTCCCAGTTTCGGGGCCATGCCGGCGCGTCGGATAGGACAGAGGGGGAGTCGTGTCCGAGCCATGGGACCGCACGGTGGTGTGTGAGGGTGAGCGAGCAATACAAAGCAATCTGGCAAAGATTACCTTTTACAAGCTATTTCGGCAACATGCCTGAAGAGAGCGATGGTGCAGTGACGCGGCAGTGATCGGCACCGTTTGCAACGACTTGCAACGGAGCTGTCGAGGCAGTGAGAAGCAGGGGTCGCCCAGGAGCCGTGGCGTCTGCCGTGGACCCCGCCCGTCACCTCGTCTGTCCCGGTGGCTGCTGCTGGACCGGCCCATACACAGCCGGCCGAGAGGATCGGCAGATACGGCGAGGTGGACTGCGACCGGCAGAAGAACCTAGTGCCGCTGGACTAACTGGACACTGAGCGGCTGGGCCGCTCTGTGCAATGCTCTGGCGAGTGATGCTCGCAGTGAGGGTGCTGGCGAGTGATGCTCGCAGTGAGTGCGCTGGCGAGTGATGCTCGCAGTGAGGGTGGTGGCGAGTGGTGCTCGCAGTGAACGTGTTGGCGAGTGATGCTCGCAGTTAGTGCGCTGGCGAGTGATGCTCGCAGCGGTGAAGGTGACAGCCGGTGGGGCTGTGGAGGTGGTGGCAGCCGGTGGGCTGTGGAGGTGGTGGCAGTTGCCGGCACTGCACTGGAAATTCCACAGGAGGGCCGTGTGGTGGCAGTCGCCAGCACTGCAATGGAAATTCCACAGGAGGGCCGTGTGGTGGCAGTCGCCGGCACTGCACTGGAAATTCCACAGGAGCCGTGTGGTGGCAGTCGCCGGCACTACACTAGAAATTCCACAGGAGGGCCGTGTGGTGGCAGTGACCGGGACTTTTTAGAATAAGTGTCTGATTGTTTGTGAGCTCGTGGTTTTTGTGTGCATTTGATTTAAGGTGACCAATTGATTTTGTGTGCGCCTTTGATGGACAGGAGAGGGCAAGTGGTTGAATGAGAGAGCTGGTAGTTTCGTGGCATCTGTGGTCCGTGTGTGCATTTGATTTAAGGTGACCAATTGATTTTGTGTGTGCCGTTGATGGACAGGAGAGGGCAAGTGGTTGAATGAGAGAGCTGGTAGTTTCGTGGCATCTGTGGTCCGTGACAAAATTGGTGAGCCTGGCCAAGCGCATTTCTTCATGCCGGGCGCTGCACGTAAAAAGATTCTTAAATGATTGGGGAAGGCACGTGGACATTATGCGTGCTGATTAGGAGCGTTTAAGAGAATGGCTTAGGATTGCTTGCCTGGTTGTGTGCGTGTTTGTGTTAAAATTTCAGTGGTTGATTCTTGAGAATCAGGGGAAGGTGTAGTGTGAGAGTTGGGTTTTGGAGGCTGTCGTCTCGGCGCCGCGGGGAGCGTCGGCCGGCCGCCGTCTGCCCCGTCCCCTCCGGTGTGGACGGAGGGCACATCTGGTGTCGGAGCGGTCCCGGCGGCCGTTCGTCCCAGTTTCGGGGCCATGCCGGCGCGTCGTATAGGACAGAGGGGGAGTCGTGTCCGAGCCATGGGACCGCACGGTGGTGTGTGAGGGTGAGCGAGCAATACAAAGCAATCTGGCAAAGATTACCTTTTACAACAATCTACCACAGCAGCCAATAGATGACTTAGGACAGGCACATGGGACTACTTAAATATTGTCCGATAGAAGCAGGCAACAGCTCTGTTAGCGTATATGCTATGCATATTGCGGAAGGGGCACATTTCGGCCTCGAAAGATACGAATTCGTATCTCATGGTAACATATTTCTGTCATGGTCAATTCGCGTAGAAATTGAACACCGGTCGGGTGATTACCGAGCTATTGCTCTATCAAAATTTTCCGATTCAAACTCGCTTAGGGTTATCGTGTAGGTAAAGGGGGCCCGCTCAGCAGAATGCGTATGAAATATGGAAAAATTCTGAAAAATGGGTGGGGGCCCGCACACTAGGGGGCCCGCTTTGGAGGCGATGACCCCCCCGAAACCAAATCCTGGCTGCGCCACTGCCATCCTCGCTCCTATTCCGTCTCCTATCCGCCTCCCGTCCCTCTCCTGAGTGGAAGAATCACTCGCTGAGTGCTCACAGTGAAGTTCGCCGCGGTGCGAGCCGGTTGTTGGTCGAATCGGGCCTTAGGAAAACCAGTTCAGCACCGCACGCGAACATCTATCGAGCGAGTCAGCCGTCTCCGAATTTCGGAGGGATTCTTTCACGAAGGAACCTACAAATCCAGCTACAACAATCAGCCACCTTTCACGGTGTGGTATCACCGACAGCTATCATCGACAAATTGCTCACACGGGTCGATGGCAAAGTCGCGCTCTTCAATCACCATCACGCCATTGGGCTCGCACGAGCAGCGTTCCGTTCCGGCGAACTACCCTGTTAACTGCCGCAGAGGCCAGCCTGGCACCAGCTCAGTCTCACTCGTCCCTCGGAGATCGTGTGTATCGAGCCACGGCGCGGCTCGCTGTGCCGCCGGAGGGGATCCGATCACCTCCCGTCTCTATTCCCTACCCTACGCTCACGTGTACGGAGGTCGGGGCGACAGCGGCCCGTACAGAGCGCCTGTCGACGGCGGCGTCTGGCTCGGACAGTAGCCGGGAGCGGACAGTGCCGCAGGGCTCGACATGAGCGGGGTCACCTGGGGCGAGAGAAAGGTCAGCTCGCCCGGGTACTTGTAGGTCGAGCTCTCACTGCTGCTCTGGGTCTGAATGGCTTGGTAGAGGGCGACGAAGTCGAACTTGTAGGCGTACCGCTTGCCGTGGACTTTGGTCATCATGTTCTTATCGTAGTAATATCTGCAGCGGAAGAGAGAGAGAAAACACAATTTGTTAGAAACTGACGCTCAATTCCCATAACAACGAAACAACCGAGGGCAGTGTGAGCACATTTCCGAATACTTGTTGAGCTTTGAGGGTAACCAAATAGTAAAACGGTTTGTTCAGCATTAGGCGATTCAACAGTGTGAAACAGTTACCCGTAGACTGAGAAATATAAATTGGCGTATCACACTAACATTATCAAAGAAAACTGAACGAAAAGCAAGGCACAGCGTGAGCGAGTCACCATTCCCCGACGTGTCGGGTTCAATCCAACAATCTCGTCTCACCTAAGCGCTCGGCTGAGTTTGTCGTAGTTCATGTTGGGCTTGCTCTTTCGCTCTCCCCACTTCCTAGCCACCTCGTCTGGGTTGGTGAGTTTGAACTCGCCATCTCGGCCCTCCCAGACGATACAGGTGGCGTGCTGGGCGGGATCGGCCAGCAGCTCGAGCAGAAACTGCCACAGCTGGATCTGACCGGACGTCTGGCCGGCCAGCCGCAGACACTCGGCGCGCGCCTCCTGCTGACCTGGGGATGGACAGAGCGAGTCAGGCACCCAGCTCCTGACAGGGGGGGGGGGGGGGGACTACAAGTAGGTACAGCGGGTGAGACACTCGGCGCGCGCCTCCTGCTAACCTGGGAACGGATACAGCGGGTGAGACACTCGGCGCGCGCCTCCTGCTGACCTGGGAACGGATACAGCGGGTGAGACACTCGGCGCGCGCCTCCTGCTGACCTGGGAACGGATACAGCGGGTGAGACACTCGGCGCGCCTCCTGCTGACCTGGGGACGGATACAGAGGGTCAGACACTCGGCGCGCGCCTCCTGCTGACCTGGGGACGGACCCAGTGGGTTAGACAATGGACTCCTGCTAACCTGTCGAGGGTTACACTGCACAATACACACCCCTGACGGCATGTCTCCGCCTGACTTTGATCATTTTCGTATAATTGCAATGTGACTACTGACTACAAGCTACAGTGCTAGTCAGTACCGAACTAATTCTAAGTGTACGCAGTGCTTTAAAAGCGTCTCTTCGACCGTCGCACAGTGGCCCTTTTTCAGAATTAGCACGCATAAATTCAAAATATTTTTTCTCTTCTTTTGAGTAAAAAGCAGTCTAATCGTGTGCAAAACATTCCAAACTATCCGATGGTGCCATTTTTACCTCCTAAAAAATAATTATCTTTGGTAAAACTGACCGCAAAATCGAAGTTTGTCGAGAGGCGCGCGGACACCACCGGCGGACCCTAAAAAGTAGGGTGAGATGAACATCAATTTGTAAGGCTTTCGGTGAGAAAATATTAAAAATTAGTGGCATGGCTGTGAAGCTGAGTCTACGTAGAAGCCCTAGAAACCACAATTTCCATTGTATAAACTTAAATTGACCACTTTTGCCGAATATTGTTAACACAATAACAGGACAATTATTAACTGGAGATGGCGGCATACATATGAAGCTTTATGTTAAGTAGCACACTCTGGGACATATCGTATTATGCATCGTTCGAATCGCCGATCTCTTCTGACCATGTCCACCAAAGGGCATCGCGCCATTTTGCGCCATTTTGCTTCTACGGTGGATAACGTGAGCCCGTTCAGTCCGCGAGCGGCTGTGGCTCCTGTTCGATACGACTAAGCTCATTGACCTGGCACGAAGCTGGTGTCACCTGGTGTGCGCCTAAATGTGGCTTGGCTTTTGCCTAAGATGTGCATATTGAAATGTCATTTAGGCATAACGCTGTGCTCAAGAAAAACTGTCAGATTTCTTGTCGCGTTTGATGTCCAAGCCGCACAAGTCCCGTGGTCGGCTTAAGATCTAACGTCAAAAGCGCCTATGTGTTTGTATTGTTCGCGTCGCGCTGACCTTAGTTGCTGCCCGGCCGGGGCCGACTAACGGTGGCTGGCAACAGCTGTAGATGCGGTCACGTGACGCCCTGGGGCGTCCTGGCGGTCAGTGCAGCGCGGTCGGCTGGCGGGCTCGCCACACTTGCGTTCGGAGCGGCCTAGGCCGGCGGGCGAGCCGTGGGAACGTGCGCCAAATCTTGGGCCGAGCGGCCTGTCGCTGTTGGGCAGAATCTCCTTGGGCAGTTCGTTTCGTTTCTTCTCTTTGCATTGGCAGGAAATACGTCCTTGATCACGTGGTGATGTCTTGCACCACTTGCAGGTAATGTGGGAATTAATGCGTGCTAATTCTGAAAAAGGGCCACTGTGCGTCGGTCAGATGAGCCATTGAAGCCGGGTTACACAAATAAGTCAGAGTCGCGCTTAGTGCAGGTCAGGCGGCCGACGTCTCGGCACGGCCGGGTCACTTACTCATGGTGACGGTCCGGTGGTCGCTGGGCTTGGAGCCGGGGAAGGCGGCCGCGGTGACGCCGTCCGGTAGCCGCGCCCACCCGGAGCGGCGCAGGGTATCCACATCTGTAATAGAGGCCGGGCGGAAATCGTCTCAATAACATATAAAGAGACACAGACACACTTGTGCATAACAGACGACACTGTGAACACCGTCAACGCCGACACAAAGTTCTGTTCGATGTTCATAGTTGTGGGAGAAGTCGCCAGTCAGCCAAGGACGTTTCCTCTGAGTCAGACTAGGTGCAGCCGAAACGAATCTAAGCAGCAATATCCAAGTTCTAAGATCCAAGTGTCCCAAATCCCAACTCCCAACACAGTCTCTTGTTAAACGGCAGCCGAAACGGTAGGAGAAAGGCGAAAGCAGCCGGCAACCGCTTAGGCTTACTGCTGAGCACATTGAACAGTAAGCAGTAAGCGGTTACGTTTTACAGCTCGCTACGTTTGAGATGACCACACGATTACGATCCACGACTCTGAAAATGGAATATAACGTAGACAACTCCAGTCTCTCATAAACACGGAACAGGCCATGGACCGCCCGGCGACGGCCGAGCGGGCCAGCCGAAATTAGTTCCCGCTCGCGCCGCTAGATGTCTAGCGCCTGGAGCGGTAGACTGTGCCGCCGCACACCAATGCCGTGCGGGCCAGCCGGGCCACCGAAACTCGCCGAGAGGAGGGCCGCGCCGATTCCCCGAAACGATGAGCGGGCCGCGATTTGAAAAGGAGGGTGCCTTCGGCCACCGGAAGTCCCGGTCCCGGTTCACGGCTGGTTAGTTATGAGCTATTCAGAACCGTACAAGAGGGACAAAAACGTCTCTGGCGACGGAAGCAGGCAGGCAGGTGCAAAACCTAGGACTGGCTTGGTATGAAATGATTCAACGAGAAGTCATCGGTCGTTATTCAAATTGTAGCTCCCCACGGCATACAATGCAGATCATCGTATTGCATGACTATGCTTTGCAAATAAGAACAAAATGTGCATTGTGGCAGTTGAGGAAGGTACCTATTGTGCAACTTTTTTTAGAATTCGAGGGATAAATAAAACCCTGATTTCATATAGAGCAGCGAAAAAGAATAATAAGAAATGCAACGAACATCCGTCACGAAGGGCAACAAATAAACACTGGCGATTATTTGGCCGACACATCTGTAATGCTAGTCCAACGTTCAGATCGGACCAACGCCTTCAGAAATAGTCATCCAAAGGCAGGTGTTGGCGACCTCGGAGTGTTACAGTGTATGGAACAAGTCCGTTCCACCGTCCAGAAGGCGGCAGGTGGTAAAAACAGGTCAGCCCGTGGCCTGGGGACAGGCGTTAGAGACGGCCAAGAGGCAGGTGGTTGGACGGACCGACTCATTGTGACTCAGAACGCACGGTCTGAAGCCGCCCTCGCCGGCGCCGGGCGCCTCTGGACCGAACCGGGCTGGCGCCGGACTGCTGACGGCCGTCTGTCTGGCGCCGCCGCCGCCCCGGGTACGGGACGGCGGTTACCGCAGAGCCGGCGCCGCCCCCGCCCACGCACAGGCCGGCCCGCTGCCTCAGTGTCTCACTGCCTCACTGCCTCAGTCGGCTCTATTGCCTCAGTCAGCGGATTACCTCACCGCTGCGGCCGCGTCTTGACGTCACTACACACAGACAGCGAGCTAGTGAAGGGGAGCCCGCTCTGGCAACTGGAGAATCACCTCGGTTGTGAGGTTAGGGGAGGACCAACACTGGATACTGCAGACACTGCGAACTGTGGAGCAAGACCAAGAAGGGACTAGAGAATCTCAATCGCTCCAGAAGTCCAGACACCAGTCTTGCTGCCTGAGCATGGAGAAGGGAAAACAAAATTGAGAAAGTGCTGCCTTCAGCATGAGGCATATGCCATCCTTGAACCATTCCTATGATAATATTTGTGTTGTCAGTTCGCGAACGAATGGCATTGGCATTGCAATAACTTATACGATAAGTTGCAGTCGCCGGTTCCTCAGTGTTCAAATCCTACGCGGCTTGTATCATATATGCATATCGAATAAAAGGGATGTAGGCATTACCATATCCCAAAAAGTACAATCATCGACCTCCGTACCCAAATGTTTCAGTTCCTATAATGTTTGAGGCATTACTTCGCGCGACATCTGAAAGGTGACGTGGTGCTCGGTGTATACCTTGAATGTACCTATCCGCTGTCAATCCAATGCCGTTTTCCCTCTGGCCGAAGGCCCTTGTGACTCAGGCGACGCCCTGCTTTCGCCTGAGATCAGACTTTTACCTTTTGGCCCATTTGTGAAGTTTATCCTCGCTCTACCTTACATGATTCAGAAAATATGCGCATTGACGTTATGAACACGCGGTAACGGAGAACCTTAGGTAATAGACGGATGGCAGCCGAACATTAATTGCGAGTTTCCAATAAACTTATTGAGCCCTACGTCCAAAACGAAACAGAAACAGTTCGAGAGGATAACAAATTTCAAGTTAACCTTTTTTTTAAGTTCGTGACCGTTTCTCCGCAGCTATATGCGATGAATGGTACCTACCTTTGCGCAGCTAAACACGATATAATCTATACCAGCAAAAATCTCATGACATTTTTTTAGCGTAACTGTTAAATTCAAACGTAGTTTAGATACTTGTTCTCATGTCAAACCGTACGAGTATGATGAGCTGGAGTGGAGTATCAGCCACTTTACCTGTTCATGCAATAATCGCGCAATTATCAGAAGTAGGTACGCCTCAGCGGGTGAGGAAAACGGGCGCATGACGGCTGCGGACGGCAGCGGCTACCATGACGCTACATAATTGAAAATACCGGAGTGATGCTGCAGGTGGGCAGTGTGTGCCGAGTTTACCACGACTGCAAATGGCCGAGCAGCATGGCCGAGTAATGCGGCAGATGGAACCGGGGGCCGGGCTTACCGCGACTGTACAGCATTGCCGAGTGATGCAGTTAGCAGAGTCGTTGGGTGCCGGGCTTACCGCGACTATACAGCATTGCCGAGTGATGCAGGCGGTGGCGCAGCTCCGTCATCTCACAGCGCCCGTATCCCGGCTTCGGGAAACTCCACATGTCGGCCGGCGCAGGAGTTTTAGTCCGAGTTAGAGCGAACTTGTCCGAGTTAGCACAGACAAGCCTGGAGTTGGCACGGACTGATCCGTCTTAGTCCTGAGTTGGTAAAAACTGGAGTGAGTTAGCACAGACTCATTACGGCTCGAGTTAGCACGGACTGATCCTAGTTAGCACTGAGTGACCCTAGTTAGCACTGAGTGACCCGAGTGACCTCCGGCGGACGGCGTGGTCCGGATGGAGACGACCCAGTCTCAGGAAGCAGCTCACATCCGCCGGCGGCGGCGGCTCGAGTGCTAGGATCGGACCGCTTCCTGCGCCTTATATCTGGAGACGGTCTCATATCCCCTGGCCGTCGCGGCAGCATCCCCGGCCTCAATGTCCAGCCTCCTAATCACTGTCGCCGACAGTCTAATGAAGCCAAAAATGCAATAAATTGCCGTCTCCCGCGGCGGAGGCGCAATCTCGCCGCTTCCGAGCGCCCCGCGACCATAAGCCTCGAATGAGCGTCGGCTTACCCGGATCTGAATGCCACCGTAATGAACGAACAAAAGCCGGCCATTCGCCAATGGCGGCCGTTCTGGCAGTGACGTCAGCTAGCTGCAGCCAATGGAGGCCGAGCTTCGTCGGTGGCCGTCGCAATATCGAGAGCTTCGCTCATTGATATTGCCATATCGAAGTCGCAAAGGGTAAACAGAACGGCGGTCGGTAATTTTATTCTGCGAGAGGGAGCGGCTCAGAAAGAAATGGTATGTGCCACCGACTTTTGTTCATCGATAGGGAAAGAGACTTATGATATAGGAAGACAAGAGACGGTTTCACTAGCGTCAATGTGCACCTAGCAGCAGCGCGCGACAATTTTTTTCAGTTTGCTGTGCACTAGCGTACATAATAATAAAAAAAACGTTGCTTTCGGATCAGAAAAGTTATAAGCAATGCACCGATATCTTGTCTCACATAACAAGCAAGGTAGGCAGGCAATTCACCAACCTTAATTTAATTTGTTTTGTAGCACCTATGACCTAATCCACCCTACGTCCAATAGTTATTGCGACGGGAGCAGTGTTTCTTTTAAGCAAGGAAATCATACGCAAATTACGTCGAATGAGTCCGAAACGTTAGCTTCATATAACTTCAAATAACGGTAAGCCAAATTTCTACAGCATCGGCGCAAATATACCTACTTCCTTCTATCGACATTTATTTACATCGCCGCATCTAAACGCCACTTAGAATTTAGATAGGTATAAATAAATTGTTCACGAGGAAAATAAATCTGAGCCGTGAACGGCGGAAATGATTGGACTGTTCTTAAATCCCACTGCAGCACAATAAGCTTCAAACGGGAGTCGAGCCCCATCGGCTGTCGCCGCGCCGTCAGCTGTCCACCTCTGGTCCCCATTCGTCGGCAATATCGGCGCGGCGCGTCGTTCGGCGCCGATTACGGCGCAGCGGGTCGCTCTATTACCGAGCGACGGCGCCGCGCCCGCCGCTGATTTTGAAGTCAGATTTGATCGCCGGGATCATCGGGCGGCCATCCCGGCGCGGAAGGCGACGATTTCGGCGCGGATGGTGACGATCGTGAAGCGGATGACGACGATCCCAGCGCAGCGCTCGCGGCTCTTTCCGCAGCACGTAATGGGACACCCACGCGCGCCCCCTCCGCAGCGTATCTCCCACTTAAAGCAGAGACTCGTCAGGCTGCGGGTCCAGACCAGACCAGACCAGACCACACCAAAAACAGCCAACAGACTCAGACCGAATGGAGATGTTGAACCCAACTGAAGCGGAGATGGCAGACCAGAGGGCAGCAAATAGACCCAGACTGAGAGAAGAAAACAGCTCCAACCGTGAGAGAGGAGGCAGACCTAGACCGAGTGAAATGCGAGGGCAATACACGCAATTCATGAAAACGAAAACCAATAATGTGCAAGAGCATGCCAATAATTCCACGGTCTAGCTGACAGGCACAAGATACCTCGCCGACTAAGTGAACGATGCGGTTCATGATATCCTGCGCGAAATGCACATGATCCAGTGCGGCATTGTTCGTGGAATCCCTCACCATAACATGTGCACCACCATTCGCCGTATACACGTTACGAGATATCCTTTACGATATCCAGCATATCCTGGACACTTTCGAGCCGGATATCGTTTAGGGATGCTACGTAAGATTTGGTGGCAACTGGCAGCACTGAAAGTTGTCCAAATGCAATATCCAATATCCAAGTGTTCGCTATGGGCTAGGCAAGCTCAATGGGCTATTCATTTCGCCAGTCATCCGTGACCACATCATCCTCGCCATCCATTTTGTGACCCTATATCCCGCTGAACGTCCAGTATGCCAGCCATCCCCGCTGACCATGCTGTGACCTGACCTCCCCTGGCCAGGACCACACTGTGACCTGTGACCTGACCTCCCCTGGACCGAATCTACCAGTAATCGTCCCTGTGACCTACCCTCTGCCCAGAGTACCCCGTTATGTCATCTACCGTTTGGCTGATCGCCCGGTGACCCAGCCTCCCGCTGACCGCCCCTGTGACCTACCCTCTGCCCAGAGTACCCCGTAACCTGCCCTTTGGCCGATCGCCCCGGTGACCCAGCCTCCCGCTGATCGCCCCGGTGACCCAGCCTCCCGCTGATCGCCCCGGTGACCCAGCCTCCCGCTGACCGCCCCGATGACCCAGCCTCCCCGGTGACCTACCCTCTGGCTGATCGCCCCCGTGACCCAGCCTCCCCGGTGACCTACCCTCTGCCGAGAGCGCAGAGCCCGGCTCGCTGCCGGTCGGCTCCTCCTCCTCCTCTTCCTCACTGGCAGAGTCGAGACCGACCCTCTTCTTCAGCGAGTGCAGATGGAAGCGGAGACATCGCGCCGTCTGCCGGCCGACCAGCGCGCCCAGCTGCGCCCTGCCCATCTGACACAGCTCCGATCCCGAGCTGGGGAACGCAGCTGCGTCCACCGGCGGCAGGCAGAACTTGCGCTCGGCCCAGCGCAGCCAGCCGTGGATGTGCTCCCGCGTCCAGGTCCTCGGATCTGGAACGTGACATGGCAGGGATCAGCGGTCAGTCGAGTCCGAGTGGATAGGTCACTTAATAAGACGAGCGGGTCAGTAGAGGTGAGGGGGAACACGGCGCAGCGTCTCAGCGCGTGTCATACTCAACTCATGACACACGTCATGCAATCAGGCACTCAGATGTTCAGACAAGCAGCGCAGTGGTGTTCAAAAATAGGCAAATTATCATTTACTGCAATTAAAATGAGGTGAATCGCAGTGAAAATTCTACAAATGGTGTTCGGCTAAAACCCAGTAAAGTGCTGGTTTGATCATATTGCTTCTCAAATTGTGTCACGGTAGGTCAACATTTTTAATGGCACTGCTGGCGCCGGTAATTCTAAAATGCAAACATAACCTATGTCGCAGACGCAGCAGCCGGCGCCGACTCGTTGACGTGTGTGCCTGTGCGTCACGAGCGCTCTATAGTGGACTGTATCTTGTTTCTGTGTGACTGGGCGTGGCTACTGGTCCATGGCATTTAGGTGACTGAAACGCAGACCCTCATAACAGGTACAAGGATGAGTAGGGATAGAGGCCACGATGGCGTGACTCGAGTGGAGGTTAAAGAGTCGCGCTGGCGCAACAGGGGCTCGTAAGGACAGAGTTCACGATGGCGTGAACAGAGGTGAGGAATAGAGATCGTGATGGCACGATCGGGCGAGGTTGGGGCTGTGCCGGCCTACCTTTAAAAGAGATAAGGATAGAGGCCACGATGGCGTGACACGGGGAAGGTTAAAGAGTCGCGCTGGCGCAACAGGGGCTAGTAAGGACAGAGTCCACGATGGCGTGGACAGAGGGGAGGAATAGAGACCGTGATGGCACGATCGGGCGAGGTTGGGGCTGTGCCGACCTACCTTTAAGAGATAAGGATAGAGGCCACGATGGCGTGACACGAGGGAAGGTTAAAGAGTCGCGCTGGCGCAACAGGGGCTAGTAAGGACAGAGTCCACGATGGCGTGAACAGAGGTGAGGAATAGAGACCGTGATGGCACGATCGGGCGAGGTATAGGGAGGAGGGTAATTCTGCGTTTGAAGTGTAAGTGAAGTGAAGTGTAACTGGAATGTATACTGTGCCGCTATCTTGATTCTCTCACTCCTCGCTCTCGGTGATCACTTCCTTTGTCACACCACTGCACTGATTTCACAGTCTGTATTGCAAAGAGCAAGATCCGGCAAACCAATTACACTGCTTGAAGGCTGCGACGAGCGGAACGAAACAACCGCCCGGCTCGACGACTGAGGCAGAACAGAGAGAAACTTGAGTATACTGTGCCGCTAACTTGAAGTCTTTTGCTCAATCGCTCCAGGTGACCACTTCCTTGGACACACCACTGCACTAATTCACAGTCTATATTGCGATGAGCAAAGAGCCGGCAGAAAACCACCACACTGCGTGGAGGCTGAGCCGAGCGGAACGAACAACCGCACGGCGCGAAGACTGGGAGAGAACAGAGCGCGGGAGGTGTTTACAGCAGCTTTAAATATGACTGGCAATGGGGTCACACACAGGGGAGATAGCGAGGGAGCAAAGCAAACGGTATTAGGCAAACTAACTGGACGCGACGAACCGGAGATAAAGAAAGAGATAGGGCGCGACGCAGCGCGCCAGCGGCCGCCGGGACGGACGCAGCGCGCTAAACAAACGTAACCGGGCCCGCCGCGCTGACCACGTTCCCCGTGAAAAAAGCTATCGACGGGCGTCGCCGCGAGAGGGGTCAGGTCCGGCACACACAGGTGCGCGCAAAACACCCCCACTGGGGCGGGGGGGGGGGGACGGCGCGGCAGCCCGCTCGGCTGACCCACCGGCCGCCCGCCACCCTGCTCGCGAGACGGGCGACAGGACAGTTTTGGCGGTCACAACCTATATCAAATCGTATCGCTTCGTATCAAATCGTAACATATCAAATCGTGAACATTTAATCAGCCTGTCTGATGTTTGCTAAAAACGAGCATACTGTCAAAGTTAGACTGTGAGTCGACCGTAAGATGTAGCAAAGTCACATGGGACATTGAAACATCCAACGGTGATTTTACAACTGCTAAGATAGACAGTAATCGTAACGTATATTTTTATCGCCGGTTTCAAGCGTGCTCATCATCGACGATGGAAAAAATAGTGCACGTTGAGTGAGCCAGTGATTATTATTGCTTTATGTTAATTTAATGGCTGCACAGCCATCGAGTTATTGGTTTTGTAGAAAAAGAATGCCACCACGCAGTGAGAAGAGCCCATTAACAAGAGATCATTAACATTTTTATGATATGACAGGTATGTAGTCACTAACCCAATGTATGTCATACATCATAAGTCACAGTCCTAGTCATATCTTAATGCATAAATAAAACAGCATATTCGTACTACTTCAAGAGGTGGGGTAGGTACAAGCGAGCCAAGCACAAATCATTTGCCACCCAAGTTCCCACAATGTCGCCTTTCATTGCAGTTATCTCAAAACTAGCAAGCTCTTGAGATATTGAGATCTCAAGGGCTTGGAATACATATAGAAGATTGGATGGAGTGATGTAACATTACATGTGTGTGGTTCCTTGAGAACAGTTTGCCACGCAAACAAGCGAATTTGACCTGTGTGACAAAGATAAAACGACCGGCGCGGGATACGGTTTCCGGGCCACAAAGGGCGGGTCGATAACGCGCTGAAAGGCCGCTGCTCACCCCACATATGATGTCATTATGATGTCATCACCCCTCATCTCATCGACCAAACAACGACGAAATGTAGCGAGGGGCGTGGCGCTCGACAGTCCCGTTTGCTCAGTGCACACGAAACTCCAGACTTATAGGATTGTGACACCGACAGCGAATCAGTGTATGCGGACGATCACAGTGACACCGGCTGCAGAATGATAACGCCCCGACGGAGACTCCCGAAGAGAATAAAGGGTGCTGTCGAAAGCCGATAGAGTTGTTGGGCTGTGACACTACACTGTAAAAAAAGTTTAGCACCCATGTCAAAAACCAGCACCCTATACCTGCTTATTTTAAGCAGGCTAAATGGGTACTAAATTTTAGCACCCTTTTCGAAAAATAGCTCCCTGTGCCGGCTTATTTTAAGCACCCTAAATGGCTGCAACCATTTAGGGTGCTTAAAATAAGCCGGCACAGGGAGCTATTTTTCGGAAAGGGTGCTAAAATTTAGCACCCATTTAGCCTGCTTAAAATAAGCAGGTACAGGGTGCTGGTTTTTGACATGGGTTTTTACAGTGTATCTTGCTATTTTCAGACCGTCAGTGTTGATAATAAACAATCGTTATAAGTACTTGACCAAAGGGCAAAGGCATTTGCTAGGCATTTGCAAAGTGATAGTTCTGAGCGGAATTTTAGACAATTCGCGAAGCTGGCACAACTAACTACAACAGACAGACGGACACGGGCCGATAGACGGGGACAGATGGGAGAAAGACGGACATACCTACTGTAAACATGTGGAGTTAGTCAGATGAACGCTCATCAGCATGGGTGGAGCTTTTTCGGGGAAGCTGGTGAGGCAAAAAGACATCAAACCTAGTTACACTGTTCGATTATACATAAAGTTGAATAAAAGGAACACTGAAACAATTCCTATCATTGTAGATGTAAAATTTTGCATTACACAGGCATTCCAAAGCCCCTCAATGATTGATTTGCAAAGCAATTAAGTCCTGCAAATCAGCTAAGTTGGTGGGGAAAAACGCTTATTGGTGAGGCAAAATGGCGGTGGGGCAGCTGCCCCACCAACTGCATAGGAAGCTCAGCAGTCAGCACCTGCTTATCAGACGACGAATGGAAGGCATTGAACTCCAGCACAAAAATAGCGTGGTCTAGTGAAAAATGGTCAAAAATGGTCAGGTTTTAGTTAGGTAGTTTTGATTGGGTTATGTCGGGCTAGGTTATGCCGTTTTTAGGACCACCTACTGGATTTCAATATACGCAGACGGGAGATAGACATCTGAAAACACTAAGCATACTGACTTAAGTCACATGTACGGGTAGATAGGACGGGTACCTATATCGACAGCAGAACAGCAGATGGATGAGGATATGTATTGATGAGATGGGGACAGATAGACAGATAGATAGGAGACCAAGAAACGGTCGGGCAGACAGACGGACCGGACGGTCGGACGGATAAATAACCGGATTGCAACCACACGACAGACAGACAGACAGACGGCAGACGGACGGACAAACGGGAGACTGAGGGATGACAGACGGACAGACAGACAGGCAGACAAACAGACAGACGGACGGACGGGTAGACAGACGGGTGGGCGGTTGGACAGATGGATGACAGAGTGGTGTCAGATAGACGAACGACAAACAGAAAAACAGACAGACAGACAGACAGACAGACAGACAGACAGACAGACAGACAAACAAATGGACGGCAGACAAACAGACAGACGTGTAGACAGACAGACAGACGGATAGACAACAGACAAATAGACAGACGGACGGACGGGTAGACAGACGGGTGGGCGGTTGGACAGATGGGTGACAGAGTGGCGTCAGATAGACGAACGACAGACAGAAAGACAGACAGACAGACAGGCAGACAGAGAAACAGGACGGTAGACAGACAGACAGTGAGACAGGCAAACTGCCTGTCCGGTGGACAGGTTGACGGATAGGCATATAAGGAGCCTAGCCTGTCAACCTGTCGGCCACACGTGCAAACTGCCAGAGGGGCTCACGACAGACACACTTTGGAACAGCTCAGTTCCCCTCTGTGACCTCTCTCGTACACGGTCACGACATTGAGTGCGACCAGACGGCGCCGCACAGACCAGGATGCGTTCGGGACGAGACGACGATACCAATCGGCGCCGGGCACGTCAGATGACGGACGTGTTCGGGGAACACGGCCGCGGCACTGCTCCATCGGGCGTCTCGCCGCGTCTGGCTGCAGGGTCTGGCCGACATCTGATGGCAGCTCCGTCATAGTTCGCGGAATGGCCGGTCAACTGCTATTTTTAGATA